TGGAATGGTCACCCACTTGATACTAGTGCCTATTAATGCTTATGCGGCCACAAATGTAAGGGACTCCGTGATAAGGATCGAATACAAAGTCTCCGATGGAGACGTTACTGGGCCCGCTCGAGCAAATCGATGAACAACGGGAGGGCCTTTACCTTTACCTTTACCTAGCAGTGAGAGACAGATAGATTTTTGTTTGTTTTGGTTACACAAGCAGTATTCTGGGTTTACTCCTTGCTCTGCGTTCAGGGATCACTCCTGACAGGCTCAGGGAAGCTTCTGGTATTCCAGGGATCAAACCTGGGTCGGCCTCCTGGAAGACAAGTTTCCTGCCTACTGTACTGTTGCTCAGACCTCCCTGTAAGTCAGTTTGTGATCACTGTCATCTCACAATGGTGTTACTCGAGTCATTGTTTGGAGATTTAAACTTGGTGATGGTTGAGGCATCTTGGAACGGGGGTCAGGTGGATTTCTCTCCCTTCCAAAGCCTAGAGCAGTCATACTCTGCCTTCTTAATAGATAAAAGGTCCAGCTCCACGACTAATCTTGAAAAATATATATATATATATGGCTAAGCCACCAAATCATCCAAGGTGGGTTGAGAACTCTGAAGCCTTCTCAGGATGGGGGCAGGCAGATTCCCTTTCAAGATGCCTCAGAGTTTTCTGCCCCGAGATTGATCGACCTGGGACGATTCAGCAGCTTGGCTTCATTTTTCCAAAAAGGACTTTTTCAAGGTCCCGTATGTATGGAACTTGGTAGATGTACTAGCAAGCTTGTATAGAGACTCGAAGAGTCTTCCCGTGCACTGCAGGCATTTTTTTTTCTCTGTGTGGTTCTGTGGTTCTTTGAATCAGCTGTCCAGTTCAAATGTGCAGTCTGAGAGAACTTTTCCTGTCAGTGTTGGCAAAGGATTGGTAGGCCGACTCATCACTTGGACTGTCCGGATAAGTAAGTAGATTTCCAGGTGATCCTGTGTCTTTAAAGTAGTAGTTCACAAAGTGTTACAGTTTTAGTACCTTTTAAGAACTCCTAAAAATTACGGGGTCCCAGTAGTTTTAATTGTTTTTAAATAATAGCAATGAAATTCAATGCATCACATACTAGCATTAATGTCACATGAAATTATCACTACTCAGTAATGAGAGTGAAAGGTTTTAAAATGACATCTTGGAACCGGAGTAGCAGTACAATAGATAGGGCACTTGCGTTGCAAGTGACCAACCTAGATTTGATCCCTAACATTCCATATGGTTCCTCAAGCGCACCAGGAATGATCCCTGAGCACAGAGCCAAGAGCACTGAGAATTGCCAGGTGCGCACCCCACCCAAACAAAGAGAAAAGGATGACATCTTAGTTTTGTTATGAATGAGATTTTGGCCCCAGAGACGTCCAGAAAGGGTCTTGAGGACCACCTAGGTAAGATTTTAATTGAGAGAGAAATGAAAGAGGGAGAAGAAAGATGGTAGGTTGGTCGGCCGGTGGGTATGTAGGTTGGTAGGTACCTAAGTAGGCAGACAGGTAGTCATATAATATGCAGTGGTAGGGAGTAGTGGTGATGAGAGCATATGAGCCATATATTTCCAAATATCAAGAGAGTTGCTGGTTTTCTTGAAAGAAAGATCCCAGAAGTGAAGTTATAAGTTCAGTTTTTGTTGTCATTGTTGTTTTTCCACTTACAGAGTAGAAACCCAAGCTTAAGTGCTCATGTCCACTCAGATATTGGAAGGTAAAGAGAATGTGCAGACTTCCAGTTTTAAAACAAACTGGGTGTCTGACTACTATGTTCTTTGGTAAAAGGCTCTGGAAGCTGGGTGGGAAATGCTCTTGGGAACTTGTCTACAAAACGAGTTGATTGGTGGGGAAACCTCGATTGGGGAACCATCAGCCCCATGCCAGAGGAATGGAGAGGGAAGGAAGGGGTGGGGGGGAGACAGAGACAGAGACAGAGAGACCCAGGAGGTGGGGTGGGGAGAGAGGAGAGAGAAGGAGCAAGCACTCAGCCCCATGTCTTAAAAATCTGGACATCTAATAGAGACAAACTGTAAGGGGTGTCTGGGGTATTTGTTCTATTTCAGGTGTCAATAAATTGTGAGATCGAAAACTTGTGTAAGTCTGAACATAAACTAAAATGCGCTGAGGATAAGCCAGTGACTCTTTGGGAACAAATGCCAAGGTCCTTTAGGTAACACATAAACCAAACTTGGGATGAACATTAAATCTACATCTGAAAGTAACTCTTAAGGTGTGTGTTTGGGCAGAGAGAGAGAGACGGGGGAGGGGAGGGGGGGAAGTAAGCCGTTAAATATATAGAAATCAAAAGTGGCCAAATTTATACTATAGTTCAGTTGATGGGCTGGAGTTATAGCACAGCGGGTAGGGTGTTTGCCTTGCACGCGGCCGACCCGAGTTCGATTCCTCTGTTCCTCTCAGAGCCCAGCAAGCTACCGAGAGTATCCCGCCCGCACGGCAGAGCCTGGCAAGCTCCCTGTGGCATATTCGATATGCCAAAAACAGTAACAACAAGTCTCACAATGAAGATGTTACTGATGCCTGCTCAAGCAAATCGATGAACAATAGGAGTGCAGTGCAGTGCAGTTGATACATTCAAAATAGAGGGCATATAATCAGTTGGCATTACTCTGTTTTGACAAGAGATTTGTAAATTGAAATGAAGTGAACTTTACCTTATCACTGTTTTTTTCCCACTACTCTTAAATAATTTTGTAATTATACAATAAATCCCTTTATTTAACTCTAAATAAAGGGAACCAGAAACAGTTCTCTTTCTTCAGATTAAAGGTTATAATTACCTTATGTCTGAAATCAGTTGCATTTTTAAAGGTTGATTTCAAATTCCAGAAATCTAGCCAAGCTAAAGGACACTGGTTGACATTTTCCAAAATCCCAGGTTTCAAGGCTAGCTTTGTTGGAATACCAAATGCATCCTTTGTCTGTATCCGTCCATTTCCACCAACCAGCCCAGAGATAGAAATCGATGTTCTTCACCATTTTATGCAGCTTTATTTTTCTGATTGTCCCCTTACCTCCAGAGTTACTGAGCAGCAAAACCTCATTATCTGTTAGCAAAGCTGCTGAAATGCTCAAGAAAATTTTTAACCAACATAAAGGTGATTATACCACCAGATTTCTCCTCCCCCCTCACTTTCCTTCACTTTTACCTATGAGTAAATCTTTCAGACTTCAGACTTATGTGGCGGGAGGGGGGTCGTTGAAGGGAGGGGTAGACGTTTGGGCCGACCTAGTAGTGTTTCGGGATCATTCATGGTGAGTTCAGGCAACCGTATGTTGTACTGGAGGTCAAACCAGGGTTTGACCTGGACTGTCTCTCCAGCCCTAAATCTAAACTGTTAAAATTACAGAGAGGGGGGCTGGAACGATAGCACACTGGGTAGGGTGATTGCCTTGCACGGGACCAACCCAGGTTTGATTCCCAGCATCCCAGCATCCCTGAGTACTGCCAGGAGTAATTCCTGAGTGCAGAGCCAGGAGTAACCCCTGAGCATCACCAGGTGTGGCCCAAAAAAGCAAAATAATAATAATAATAATAATTACAGAGAGGACCAGAAGATAGTAAAGTAGATACTCTGGGTATCAGGAATGGTCCTTAATCTCAGAGCCAGGAGTTAGCCCTGAGTGCCACTTAGTGTGACCCCCAAACAAGATCAAAAGCACAGCACTGTAGCACTGTCCTCCCATTGTTCATCGATTTGCTCGAGCAGGTACCAGTAATGTCTCCACTGTGAGAACTTGACCAAAAGCAAACAAAACAAACAAACAAAAAACACTCTGAGTAGGGATCAGAAAGATAAGAGTACAGGGATTAAGGTGCTTGTGCTATTACCTGGAGAAAAATCCCCTTCCCCCACCCCACCCCCCAACAATGCAAAGAAAGGTGCATCACCAAATAGTCTTGGAATACTTGATATACTGCAATATAAAAGAAAATATGACCATAATGAGTAGTTAACTGTAATCTACTTCCACTTGCCCAAAAAAGTTTCAAGTCTAGTATTGCAGCGAAGTAAACACAGTTATCCTGCAAGCCATATTTCTTTTGCCTGAGACTTGGTTCTTGGTTCTCAAGATTGTACTCAATATGTCCAGTAAGACTCTCCTTTTTTAACAAGGTTTCTCAATAATGTTGTTGCATTAACTTTATCCCATGTTGAAATCATTTCCGTACTCCTAACTGTACATCGTCCGGTTCTATGAGTCTCTACGAGCTGTCAGCCTGTCTTCTCTGTGCCCTCCTTCTTGTCACAGTTAGCCCATGTGGAAGTCATCTCCATACCCTAACTGTACATCGTCCGGTTCTATGAGTCTCTACGAGCTGTCAGCCTGTCTTCTCTGTGCCCTCCTTCTTGTCACAGTTAGCCCATGTGGAAGTCATCTCCATACTCCTAACTGTACATTGTGTGGTTCTGGCAGTCTCTGCAAGCTGTCAGCCTGTCTTCTCCGTGCCCTCCTCATTATCACAGATCAGTAACTGGCCTCTCAACAACTTCCTTTCTTCTCAGATCCATCCTCTGTGAACAAAAGAATAGAAACAAATTGTTCAAAGAGAACGGGTCTGTGGTTAGGGAGAAATAAGTTGGAGGTTGGGTTAAACATTCTAATCATATATTCAGTATGCTTTGAGCAAAGTGAATCTGTTCAATCTTGATAACTGCGGAATGACCTGATGTAGATCCGCATATATTCATGGTGTTCCTTGCTCTGAGGCGCTTTGATAATGCCCTGTGGCCTATGTCACATCACCGGAACCCTGTGCCTCTGAATGAAATGCAGATTCTCTTCATAGGGCTTTCAGTTATTGTGTCTGACTCGTCTCCGGAGCTGGGTTTTATACAGGTTTCCTGGCTTACTAGTCACTAGCTGCCCAGCGGTGACCTGTGTGGTCAGAGCAGGAGGGATCTGTCTTACATGAACTAAGGTGGACTCATGAAATTATCGGGGTGTCCTTGGCTCTTTCCCACAGCAGTCTGAACTGTCAGCTGAAGAAAGTCCAGAAAAATTAGGAGCTTCCCAGCTGCATCGTCGGAAAGTCATTTCCTTGAACAAGCAGATTCTGCAGAAGACCAAACATCTGGAAGAGGTTGGTATGGTCTTTATTATTATTATTATTATTATTATTATTATTTAATCATTTAACTCAAGTAAAATAAAACCACATTTCAAAATGGAAAGGCCTGGGAAAGGAGTTAAGAGTTCTGTGGTCGGTCTACACTAGTCCAAGCTGGTCTTAGAACAGGGGTCAGCATGCTTGGACCCAGGGGCTTGGATCCAACTACAGCTTATTTTTATTTATGAAGTTTCATTGGAATATGTATGCACACCTCTTGTTTACATATTTTCTGTGGTTGCTTTCAAGCTCCCGTGGCAGCATTGAGGGGTTATAGTGAGACCATAGAACATAGAAACAGCTACTCTCTGACCCTTTATGAAAAACATCTGAAGAATGGTCACGGGGCAAGATTAGCATTTATTAAACTTTAAATAAACAGGCTTCTGTTTCATTCGGGGCAACTTGGAGGGAAGTGGGTGAGTTCCTCTCCCCGCCCCAACGGAACCCGCCCTGGCAGCCGAAAACCTCCAGAACTCAATCAGCCTCTTGCTCACGGCTACTTTCCACATGTTCGGACCAGCCTCGCCCACGAGTGAATCTATTCCTGGACATCTCATACATTAAACCACTAATATACCAGGAGTAGCACAACACATGTGATGGGGTTTAAAGTAGAAGGCAACCAGTCCTAGGGAGAAATATATTTATTCAGATAGATAGACAGACAGACGCACAAGACTCGACCTTTAGCATGTTATTAATCTCTTATAGAAGGGCTTCATGGCTCCTGGGTGAAGTATAACAATCTTCACACACTCTCCTCGAAGAAACCTTTTTTGGATAATTTTTTAGCAGATTATTCTTAATAAGCAATATGAAATAAATTATTTTGGTTCTGCTTTGGGGGCAGGATTTGGGGTTTGGGATGGAAACATTCGGAATACGGTAGTAGGAAGGTGTAATGGTGGTGGGATTGGTTTCGAATATGAAATGTAATCAAATATTGTGAACAACTTTATAAAAATAAATAAACCGCCTTCACATTTTCATAAACTCTGTAAACCTACTTCATTCTTTCTCATTACTCTTCTTTCTCATCACTGTGTATATCTTAATTTCTCTGACTTGCCCTTTGTTAGAGTTTTGTAGTTTTTTCCAGTTTTCTTCTAGTTTCAATTTATGCTTGGCTTCTTTGTGTAGAATTTCTAGATCAAAAAAATATGCAGTTTCAGTTTTGCTAGAGACTGTCAAGTTAATCACCATTTTATGAGTTTATACATCTAACCCTAGTCACAGATCACAGATCATCCTGTTATTCGTCAATTACCTCGAGCAGGCCCCAGTAACGTCTCCTTCATCCTAACATCTAACACTAGTATTTGAGAGAATACAGACCTTATTTTGTTTCTCGCTCAGATCTTCTATCATGCACTGCAGTGGGAACTAAGAACCTCAGAACTTCATACTTGGCCAGAGGACCCCCTAAGTCACCAAGCCATCTTGCAGCCAATCCTTCCTGGGGAACCCTAATGGCAAGGCCACCAGGATCACCTCAGTGCTTGCAGATGGCACTGGGGTTTGAACTTGCAGTTTTGCTCTTGTCAGGCACGTGGCTTACGCTCTTGGGGTGTCTTCTGGATTCTTTTAGAACCCAGACTCTCTAAATACAAGGACCTGTCTTACAAGGTGGTAGAAAACAGCCCAGATGCCCCGGTGGTGCTAGCTGTCAGAATCATGGTGAGGATGTTAGTCCTGAAGAACCACAGGAGAATGAGTAAAAGCACACACAGCAGGAAAGAACAGCCCAGGGTCCGACGGGAGCCTGTGCTGCAGAGACCTGGAACTGATGAGAGGGTTCTGAGAAGAACCCTGAGGCTGAGGAAGGAAAGAGGAATCCACAACAGAATCAAAGATCTTAAGCAACTGAATTTGGGGGTATATGTCTCCCTAGACCTCATCATCTTCCATGGTGAAGGAAAAAATGGAGGCAAAAGAATTGGAGGTGGAGGTGGGTGGACTACACTAAGCTTCTGAGTGGGACTTTGATTTATGAAAAATAGTCAAATGTGGAGAGCTCTTACGAGTCAAATTAAAAGGAGTAAGTCTTCCCTTTTTCGCCAAGTTCTACTTCGTACAGCCAGGATCCTACTCATGTCTTGGTCAGAGAAACTTGCCTTAAACCCCCTTGTAAACAAGTTGATGCTTTCCGGGGCCTGTCTTTGCCCGGGAAACTCCACTCACAATCCAGTCCACCGTGTCCCCGGCCAGCTCTTAGAGGAAAAGTCACTGTCATGTTTGTTTGTCGTCTGCTCCCACGCACGTCGTTTGAGCAGATCGTGAGGCAGATGTCAGTGTGGGGTTGAGTACAGGAGTGAAGTTGCCAAGGGCTCTTTGAGGAAACTCAAATGAGCTTTAGGAGTTTGGTCACCAGGATTTCAGGAGAAAAACAAACTTTGTACTGAAATGCTCTCACCTACCAATTACACAAACAGCTTGATGAAGGTCTGCGGCTGCATGAAGGTCTGCGTTGCGTTGTCCAGATTGCTGCCTTGGGGAAGGGAGGTACCCAGGCCCTCCCTCCTGCCCTCCGCATCACCTCTCCCTCAGCTTCTCTTGACTCCCAGCGGGCCTGCCAGGAGTGTGCACAGCCTTTTTCCCCCTTTTTTTTAATTGAATCACTGTGAGATAGAGTTGCAAGCTTTCATGTTTGAGTTATAGTCATACAATGTTCAAACACCCAACCCTCCACCAGTGGACATTTCCCACCACCAATATCCCCAGCATACCCCCCCTTTCCCACCCTCCCCCTGCCTCCGTGGCATACAATATTCCCCATTCTCTCTCTCTCTCTCTCTCTCTCTCTCTCTCTCTCTCTCTCTCTCTCTCTCTCTCTACTTTGGGGCATTATGGTTTGCACTACTGAGAGGTTATCATGTTTGGTCCTTTATCTACTTTCAGCAAACATCTCCCATCCCAACGTACTCCACCCTTACCCCTCTGCCTAGGGTATGAACCATTTCAGTGAGGAGCAGGGAAATAACTTTTTCAGGAGGCACATTTTCATGTATGTAACTTGGAAGAGGAAAGGAAATTCATCTTCTTTCTCTGGGTTTTGAAATTCTGAATCCTTTCTTCTCTCTGGCATTGTTTGCCAACTAGCCATGGTCTGGGCTAGAGTTCTGAAGGCTGAAATGCAATTGTGTTCTGCAAACAAGCATGGGGGCAGCTGCATTGAGGGTAGACGGACAGAGATGTTAAACCTGAATTTGAACCTTGGCTTTCTTAATTGCCAGCTACGCAGCTGTGAAATTTCAGTCAAGCAACTTAACCCCTCTCAGTTTTTTATTTCCTCATGTATAAAGAAGAACACCATCTTCTACTGACTGCAGGGATTCAGTGATAATACTTATGCAGATTAGTACCATATCACCTGGCATGGAGTTGGTACTTAAAATAAATGAGGGCTTTCTCCTTCACTGATTGTTGGTAACCCCTCAGAAATTTCCACACTTACTTTAAATCTTCCTGAGTTTTCTTATCTGTAAAATAGTGACGCCATTTATTTCTGGGTTGTTTGTAAGGCTCCAATGAGAGCATGTTTGTTGGTGTTGTTGTGATTTTCAGTTTCATTTCAGGCACCATGATTTACAGTATTGATACTGGCGGGGTTTCGTGCATGAGATATTCCAACACCACACTCTTCAACAGCATGTCCACTTCCCCCACCACTGTCCCATTGTCCACCCTTCCTGTTCCCCTCCACCTCCCCATCCCCCATAGAATGAATGATACGCTTCCTACTAAAGACCTGTTCCCAGTTTCTGTTGTTGCCTTTGGGCGTTCATTGTCTCCTTACCGTGTTTTCTTATATCCCACGTATGAGGGAGATCACTGTGTCTGTCCGTCTCTTTCTGACTAACTGCATTCGGCATGATACTCCCCATAGTCCTGCCCTCATTCGACAAGGGGCTAATGTCCAAGATCCATAAAGCACTGGTAGCACTTTACCCCCAAAAATAAAAAAAAAAGTTCATCTTCCAAATTATCCAGCAGTTTTACTTCGTGATATTTAATCCCGAAGGACGAAAAACTATCCAGAACAAGACATTAAACTCCTTGTGTTCATTGCAGCACAACAGCCCAAATCTAGGAACAACCCAAGTGTCCAAGAACAGATGACTGGATAAAGAAGCTATGGTATATATGCACCGTACAGTACTACTCAGCTTTGAGAGACCCTGTTGTGTTTTTCATTTGTTTATTTGTTTGCTTTTATCTTTCCAGCTGCGGACAAATCACAGTGACTTGCAGGCTAGATACAGCGAATCGAAGAAAACCCTGACAGAGGTGAGCAGCACCACCTCCCTCTTGGGGCGTTCCCCCAAATTCTTTTGTTTTATCCTCCATAAAGAATGCAGTGCCGGGGACCACAGTCTGGTGGGGAGTCAGAGTGCCCTCCCTTTGTAGATGGAGACAGTCCCTCAGGAGTACGTGTCCCCGAGCCATCCAGGCATTCAAACCCTTGGCGATTTTGGTGGAGAGATCTCTGTGGGCTGGGAGGGTTGAAAATTTCTTCCTGCAAGAAGTGGGTCTGAAAGGCTGGAGTGATAGTACAGTGGGTAGGGCATTTGCACGCAGCCGACCCGGGTTCAGTTCCCAGCATCCTATATGGTCCCCCAAGCACTGCCAGGAGTAGTTCCTGGGTGAAGAGCCAGGAGTAACCCCTGTACATAGACGGGTGTGACCCAAAAAGCAAATAAATAAATAAATAAATAAATAAATAAATGAAAAGAAATGGGCAAGGGGAAGTCCACATAGGAGAATGTGAACGGTCATTTACAAAAAGGGGCACTACCCCTCAAGCAGATTGCTTGCCTAGGTCCAAAATACTGAATTCCTTGAGAGTTGGGTTTCGTCTTGTAAAATGAGACAGCTGCAGAGTGATAAACATTTCTTCCCCAGTATCCAAGGAGGTGGGGGGGGTTGTGCACCCTCCCAGCCCCCACCCAGAATGCCCCACCCTGAATGACCACATCCCCTTTATAAAATAGTAGAGTGTTTGCATGGAGAACCCACTTCCTCCCTGCACACTTTAAATCCTTTAAATGGGTAGCGTATTTGTAATATCCAATTAGACGGTGTAGGTACTATGAAAGTTGTTGAAATGCTGTATTTATTATTGAAGGGATGTTAACAAGAAGTCTGAACGTGTTCAGTATTGCTACAACCACCAAACTACAACTGTGTCCCGGTCACGGTCACGGTCCTCCCGTTGTTCATCGATTTGCTCGAGGGGGCCCAGTAACGTCTCCATTGGAGACTTTGTTGTTACTGTGTCTGGCATATCGAATACTCTCGGTAGCTTGCCGGGCTCTCCGAGAGGGGCGGAGGAATCGAACCTGTGTCGGCCATGTTGGCTGCGTGCAAGGCAAACGCCCTACCGCTGTGCTGTCGCTCCAGCCCACAACTGTGTCATATATCTTTTTTAGTCTCTGGCTAGTTGAATCCACAGACGGGGTGTGGGCACAGACAGGATGGCTGACTACAAATTGCTGTTTACCGTGACTAGTTTTGTCCTTGGGTGCTGGGGAGGGGATCACCCAGGGGAAAGGGGCTTGTGGGCATCTTCTGAGCCGTGGCTTCGTTTTCTGACCCGGTTGGTGAGAATGCCTTGTCCCTTCGCATCGTAGCGTTCTTTGCCTTTCACTGCTGATCGCCTAGGAAACCAGGTGAAGGACCCCAGGCCTTGCTCCCAGTGCTGTTGTGAGGGGAGTTTCAATGCTTCCCTCCTGTTCGCGTCTGTAGGGCGCCACCCTCCTTGGAATCTGAACACTCTCTTCATTGTGACTCTCGTGTCATGTCAGGGTTTGAGTAGAGGGGAGAGGGTCTGTGCTCAGGAAGGCCTCCCTGCCTGGGTCGCATCTAATGCTTCGGGGTCATGTCAAAGCACTTCTCATTTTTCTCCCAAACCCAGCCCGGCCCTATTGTTATTTTAATTTTATCTGAAGTTTGCCCATTTTAAAAAAATTCTGATTTCTGTCGTGTGTGTTTAGTTTCCTGCCTTGCTGTAAACTTGACAAGGCTTTTGGATTCTGACCTCCTCTCATCGGTTATTGTCAGCATACTTGAAAGGGCAGGCATAAGAATGACAATTAGAGTTTTAAAAAAAAAATTTTTTTTTTCTCCTTCTTTCCAAAGATGCCTGTATTGCATTTGGGCAGATCAGCTTTCTTTGCTTTATTCCGGCACTGCATTCCTGTGTATCAGATGGTGGGCTCCTGGGGGTGGGGGGGGGGGGGGGGATCCCTGCTGCTCTGTGAATTTCAGTGCTGCAGAGACCCTGGCATGACGTTTGCCAAGTCAGGGATCAGTCCTTGGACAAGAATCTGGAAGAGATTAGAGAGCCGGCGTCTAGTTATCAATTTCCTGAGACACTTATATGCCTTCGGATATAAATCCTAGGTGGCCGTAAAGTCTCCTTTTGTGCCAAACACTAAATCAAGTCTTTGTGGAGGCCCTTTCATGTGCTTGAAAAGTCAAGGGTCCCTCAGGGGCAGCTTCCCCGTGCGTCCACAGATAGCAGTAGCAGCTGGCGTTGTTCTCTGGGCATGCGCCGGGCAGGTCACTGGGATTAGTTTCTTTGGCTCTTCATAGTAACCTTGGCATGGCAGTGACCATCTCTGTTCTGCAGATGAGGAAACCAAGGCGGAGAAGCCGGGCAGAGCAGTGCCAGGCTTCCAGGGCTGGCCCTCAGGCTCCAGAAAGCTCTCAGAGAGCTCATCCCCAGCCTGGCCAATTCCCAGCTAGAATAGCGGGGAGCTGTGTGAGGCAGAGTGCTGAACAATTTACACAGCAGCTTGATTCGGTCCTAGTAACTGAAGACCCGGCTCCTGAATCGGTAACAAACTTCATCTCTGAGCTTCAGCCTTCCAAGGCGATTCCCGAAGCAACTGAAAAAAACACTTCTGAGGGGCCAGAGCGATAGTCCAGCGGGTAGGTCACTGACCCTTGCACAGGGCTGTCCTGGGTTCAGTCCCCCGCACCCCAAATGGACACCCGAGCCTGCCAGGCATGATCCCTGAGCACAGAGCCAGGAAAAAGCCCTGAACACTGTCAGGCGTGCTCCACCCCCCCCCCAAAAAAAAAAACAGTTGAACATTTCATTGCAGTGCTCCCAGACTTTACCTTGTTAACAGGTTTTGTCGACAAAACCTTGTCAACAAAACCTGCCCTTCCAAGACAACTCAGGGCAAACAAGCGGATCAGGACACGGATGGGAAGAAGACCCAGAACAGCTGAGGACACATGTTAGGGAGGCTGCCTGCTGTGCTCCAGAGGTCAGACCTCAAGCCCCGGCCTCTCGCCAATCCACTCCAGAGTTCTGGCGGTCACAGTTTGAGTCAGGCCTGCGGGAGGTTGACTCTTTAAACCAGCAAAAACAATTTCAGTATCCTCTTATGTCACGCTAAACACATGGTGCCTAAAGTTTTTCTTGATCTGTGAACTCTTTCTCCACATCAAAATTCATTTGTTGAGTCTGCATCCTCTCTTATTTACTCTTTCATTCTTGGTGGTGGGCTTATCTTTTTATTTATTTTATTTTATTGAGTCACCATGAGGTAGAGCATTTACAAGATTGTTCTCGATTGCATTTCAGTCATACAGTGTTCCAACACCCATCCATCCACCAGTGTAATTGCCCAGCACCGGTGCCCCCAGTTTCCCTCTCATCCCTTCAGGCCACCCTCCACCCCTGCCTGCCTCTAGAGCTGGCACCTCTCCTCTCTCTCTCTCTCTCTCTCTCTCTCTCATTTCAGGCATGATGGTTTGCGATACAGATTCTGAAAGGTTATCATGTATATCCCTTTAACTACTTTCAACACTCAGTTCTTGTCCAGAGTGATCATTGCCAACTAGTATGGTCATAATGGACCCTCCTCTGTCTTAACTACCCTCCATCTCCTATATCGTTGACTAATCATTGACCAGTCAGTCCGCCTGGCCCGTTTTCCCTGGCCTTGGATATTAGTTTCATATTGGTTTTTTTGTTTGTTTGTGTTTGTGTTTGGTTTTAATCATTGGACCGTCTTTGATCCTAACGTCTCTGCCTGTCAGATATGTGGGGCTTCTGGCCCATTTTATGCGACCTGCTTCTTGGGGTGGTTCTGGAAGGGCAGGCGCCACTGATTGGTGGGATCAGCCTCCGGGAACGGATATTCCGAGTCACCCCGTTTCTCCCAGGGGCTACCGGGATTAAACCTGGGTCAGTCCCGTACAAGGCAAACTCCTTTAGTGCTGTACTATCTTTCCAGTCCTCTGGAACTTTATTTTACCATATTCTTTTAAATGGATAACACGTTCACATGGCCCAGAAATCAGCAAGTACAAAGAATGCACTGCCTTACCCAGCCACATAGCTGCCCTCCCTAGGGGTTAACAGTGTAATCAGTTTCTTATGAATCTTTTCAGAAAGATTTGATGCATATGCAAGTCACCAAGTATGCATCGGTTCCTGGCATTCCACATATTTTTATACATTCAATGTATACATTGTTTAAACACATCGGAGGGACACTAAGCTTACAGTTTTGCCCCTTGTTTTCCTTACCTAGCAGGTATTAGCAGTCAACATAAAAGTGGCGGTTCCTTCTTTTTGTTTTGGTTTTTGTTTGGTTGGCTTTTTGGGCCGTACACAGTGATGCTCAGGACTTACTCCTGGCTCTGCACTCAGGAATCACTCCTGGTCATGCTCAGGGGACTATATGGGATGCCAGGAATCGCACCCAGGTTAGCCACATGCAAGACAAATGTCTTACCTGATGTACTATGCTCCAGCCCATCTTCTTTTAAAAAAAGAAACAAAATATTTTTACATATTGTGATGCTGAGTACTGACCTGCCAGTTCAGTGCTCAAGCCTGGAGACACTCGGGGCTACCAGGTTGACACCTGGAAGCGCTCAGGGGACCATGAGGTGCTGGGGTCCTAACTTTGGGCCACACGTATGTTGAGTATGAATTACCACATGAATTATCTCTCCAGCCCCCTAGAAGTTTAGTCTTACATTTTTCTAAAGGAAGCTCTACATTCTATTTATATCATTTAACTACAAGCTTTATAAACTAAGCTGAAAGTTTCTTAAAAGTTAAACTGTACTGACAGGACCAGAGCAGTAGCACAGTGGTTAGGGCATTTGCCTTGCACACAGCCAGCCTGGATTCAATTCCTGGCATTCCATGTGGTCCCCCAAGCACTACCAGAAGTAATTCCTGAGGGAAGAGCCAGGAGTAACCCCTGAGCAATGCCGGGTGCACCCCCAAAAAAGCAAAACATAATAGATTTAAACTGCACTGACTCAGAAAACGCACTAAATATTCATGCAGAAGGGAGATTGTCCCTGCTCCTGCACATTGCCACAGCAGGACCTGAAACACTGGAGGTCTGTCTCTCAATAGCCACACTTGGTTTTCCCCTTCCTTCCGGAAGACGCCTGCTTTTAGCCTTACTGTTGACTTCTACCCACTTGCTTCTGTGACTTCAGGCCGTTGCCAGGATGTCATGAGCCAGCAGGATGTGTTTCACCTTTCTGTGGGGTTCCTCGGCCACTTCCTGTATCCATTGTCTGTCGTTTCCATGTACAACTGAATTCAGTCTGTCAGATGTGGGGCACAGATATGAGCCAGGTGGGAAGGAGAGCGGAAACACGTCACGCTTTTTCGCTCCCGGGACTCTGGCAGTGACGTCTCCATTCTCTTCTAGTTGAAGAGTTACAGTGAGAAACTGGACAAAGAGCAAGCCGCCCTCGAGAAGATAGAATCCAAAGCCGACCCAAGGTAAGGGTTTTTCTCCGTACGTTTCCTTCAAGAAGGTGATTTTGCCAGTTCCTGGGGCTTGAACACAGAACTACAGAGCCAGCCGTCATCCCTCTGGCCCCAAGCAGGTCACTTTCACCCGCTGAGTCAGAACACGCCCCATATCACCCCCGTGCTGAGCTGTGAATACCCGTCTCCGAGGCCCCCTTGGCATCAGGGACAACCTGATTTTGGTGTCTTGTTGAGTCTTTCTAGTTTTTTAAAAACAAAGTAAGGAATCAGAGAGATAGCACAGTGGGTACAAAGCTTGTCTTGCAAGTGGCTGACCCAGATTTAATCCCTAGCATGGCACATGGTCCCCAAAACCCCATCAGGAATGATTCTGAGTGTCGAACCAGGAGTAAGCCCTAAACACTGCAAGATGTGGCCCAAAAATTATAATAATAATAAATAATAATAATAACCTGTTCAAGCACTAAAGGGACTGTGGTAAAATACACACACACACACACACACACACACCCCAGATCTCTTTGGAGTTAACCATGCCTTTCTGCAATTTTTTTTTTTTTTGCTTTTGCTTTTTGGGTCACACCCGGTGATGCACAGGGGTTGCTTCTGGCCTGCACTCAGGAATTACTCCTGGTGGTGCTTGGGGGGCCATATGGGGTGCTGGGAATCGAACCTGGGTCGGCCGCATGCAAGGCAAATGCCCTACCCGCTGTACTACTGCTCTAGCCCCCTCTTTCTGCATTTTTAAAGCACACATTTAAGGCTGGCTCTTCAAGCCCATGTTCTCCCTTGAACAGGTTTCTTGCTTGCTTGCTTGCCTCTATCTCTTTGCTTGCTTTTTCACTCTGGAGAGTCTTTCTCTCTCGAAATGTGCTCCCTCTCTTTCTCTTCACATCTTCCTAAGAAAAGGTAAAGGCCCTCCCGTTGATCGTCGATTTGCTCGAGCAGGCCCAGTAACGTCTCCATTGGAGACTTTGTTGTTATTGTGTCTGGCATATCGAATACTCTCGGTAGCTTGCCGGGCTCTCCGAGAGGGGCGGAGGAATCGAACTCGGGTCGGCCATGTTGGCCGCGTGTAAGGCAAACACCCTACCCGCTGTGAAAAGTTATCAAAAAGTTTGTTCAGTAAAAGTTATCATGCTTCTCTCTCTCTCTCTCTCTCTCTCTCTCATGCACACAATACACACACGCACACATACACACACACACACACACACACACACACACACACATTTTAGCCATGACTTCTTGGGTTGAAAAATACAGTCTTTCTTTTTCTTTGCAGAGGAACAGTTGCTGGCTGGTAGCTGTGTTTTGCCATTTTAAACAATTTTCTTTTCCAATTTAAATTAAATACACATGATTATTGTATAAGAATCACTCAGTTTTAAACTGTTTTAGTGCCAGCCTCTTTGACAAAATTTCCTGTGTCACTTGCTTGAATGAGGTTGTGAAATCATGAATAGTTTCAGGCGCAGAATTGGCAGCTGTGGGCTGGATGGACATTTTTAGCAAAGATACACCTACAGATTTTGGAGGAAGAATTATACTTTAAAAACCCCTGATCCCGCATTAAGCAAATACTGTATTAAGTACTGTCATAACCCCTGAACTTTTGATTTTTAAGTAAGAGCTTTGAACAACCCTCAGCAGCTTCTTTCTTTTTTAGATTGGAAATTTAAAATGGCTAAAGATACTCTCGAAACCCTTGAGTACCATTGAGTCAATGTTATTACTGAACGCATCCTTGGAACTTGAAGCTCCTTAAGTGTCTGCATTTGACTCTGTAATATCGGTTTGGATATAGTTTCTGGCTTCATGCACGTAAATGAATAGTATCGGTGAACGGGTCATCATTACCACGTGTGGGTACCCGATAAGATGTATTTGGGAGATACAGTGGAAATATTTTGGGGGGAGCCACACCTGGCAATGGCCAGGGGTAGCTCAGACTCTACACTAGGGATCACTCCTGGAGGTACTTGGGGGACCATATGCAGTGCCAGAGATCGAACATAGCTCATCCATGTACAAGGCAAGTGCCTTACCCGCTGTACTGCCTCTCCAGCCCCAATAACAGAAATTTAAAAGATAGTCCCTTCCTAGCATGGGGGTGCTGGTGTTGGCTATGATGCATAAAATCACAGCGGCCTGACGTGTTCTCTTTGGACTGTTTTCCTTTCAGTATCCTGCAGAGCTTGAGAGCACTTGTAGCCATGAATGAAAATCTGAAAAGTCAGGAGCAGGAGTTTAAAGCGCATTGCCGAGTAAGTGTCGCGTGGTGGGAACAGACATTCCATTGGGGCTCCTAGAAAAATCTCTTGCTTTGCTTCCCTTTGTCCTGCTGGGGCATCCTGTCCAGGGGTAGTCAGGAAACGTAAGACGTCGAGGAGCTGAGTCAGCTGACTGGAGCCTGTGGTTGGGACCCTCCAGGATATCATACGTGAGTTAGGTTAGTAACCCTGTGTGCCATGCACCCAAATTGAGAGCACACACTAAGAGTTTTAGGGTATGTAACTATCTTACATAATGAGAAAAAAATCACATGTGATAGCAGCACAGTCCTGAACACCCAGGATGTCTGTGTGACATGTCCATAGCCTGAGTTCCTGCTGGCCGGGAAGCTCTGGCTCTCCTGATAAGATATTGCCTGCTGTGTATGAACAGCAAGGAAGGAAGAGTCACTCTGGCACTGGAACCATCCAGAAGCTTGACCTTCCTTCAGGGCACGTGGAGGAGGGGCGAGGGGACCTCCAGGCTAGCAGGTCCCACAGAAGGTGGATAAACCTAGACAAGGAAGGGTAGAAACAAGGTTTGGAGCTATTCTCATAATCCTGGAGACTCCTGTGCTGCCTCTGCCTTTTTTTTTTTATTAGTGAGACATCATGAGGTACAGTTGTAGACTTATAAATTTTTGTGCTTGGGTTTCATTTATACAATGATCAAGTACCCATCCCTTCACCAGTGCCCATCCTCCACCACCACGGGTCCCAGCATCCCTCCCACCCCCCATCCCCCCATCCCACCCTGCCTCTGTTTTTTGTTCTCTCTCTCCTTTTGGGTGCTGTGGTTTGCATAAGAGGCATGGAGTGGCAATCATGTTCGGTCTGTAGTCTACTTTCAGCATGCTTCTCCCATCCTGGGAGGATCCTCCCAACACCCTGTATTTGGTGCTCCCTTCTCTATCTGAGCTCCCTTTCCCCCTAGCATGTGTGGCTGGCCTCCAAGCCATGGAGCAAAATTCCTCTGTCTTTTTAAGCTCTCCAGACTGAGGGACCAGAACAATGGGTGGAGCGATTTTTCTCAGGCTGAGTATTTGGGGTCAGTCCTCATGAACTTTGTCAAGCATAAACTCACAAAATGTGGAAAATAGACCCTGGATTAAGTTAGATCACTGTATTCACCTACTCCTTTGCCCAAGCTTGGTAAGTGTTTCTGTTTTTGACAAAAATCTGTTGCCTTTAAAGGAGGAAATGACACGGCTGCAACGGGAAATTGAAAAGCTGAAAGCTGAGCGGGGACCAGGCGGAGATGAAAAGGTGAAGGCCCCGAAGGAGCCCTTGGCATGACTGGTCGCTGTGCCACTGGCGCCACGGGAGGTTGCTCGAGGACTAACCAGAGTCGGGGGGCTCTGACCAGGACTGGCACCTTTCCCCTCACACGTTTCTCAGCTCTCTATTACACAGCTTTGGGCTGGAGCGATAGCACATCGGTAGGGCGTTTGCCTTGCACGCAGCCCACATGGCCACCCCGAGTTCGATTCCTCCGCCCCTCTCGGAGAGCCCGGCAAGCTACCGAGAGTATCTCGCCCGCACGGCAGGGCCTGGCAAGCTCCCCATGACATATTCGATATGCCAGACACAGTAACAACAAAGTCTCCAATGGAGACGTTACTGGGCCCGCTCGAGCAAATCAGTGATCAACGGGAGGGCTTCTTTTTTTTTTTTTTTTTTAATACGCAGCTTTACTGGATCCGCATCTCTGCCCTTTGCTTCCTCTGCTGGTAAAAGGCCGCAGGGGAATTGACTGACCGTGTCCCAGACTGACAGGACCAAGCTATCACTTTGGAAAAGAGCATTTGCAGGAACTGTGTGCGTGGTTTCCCAACTGGGAATTTTCTAGCCAGTCGACTCACTTTACTGTCCTGTCTGTCAGCAGTCGCATCTTGTTAGGGAAATCATTCCTGACATCCAAACACAGTCACAGTCTGGCTTGTGTGTAGCTGACATCTCCGAGCAAATGAAAACCTGGGGCTTCCCTCAGAGCCGTTCCCCTTCTGGTCCGTGTTCAGACAGGGTTAGTGACTCTCGCCCCTTTGGCATCGAGGCCCTCTGCTTCTGTTTCGTTGCCCTGACTCAGTGAACCTGTGTTACTTTTCACCATTTCAGGCGCCCTCCAGCGGAGAGCCGCAGGGCCGCCAAAGGCCCTTGACCCATAATGTAAGTAGCCGCCACTCTCTTCGCGCTGGTTGTCCCCCGGGCTGGGGTCTCCCACCTTGCCTTCTCGCGCCCACTTAATGTTCGCCCTGGCGAATTGCTATCTCCAAACCCAGAGGCGTGGAACAGATTGTTGCAGCAATGTTTATCTCCTCACCGTAATATTTTGGGGCCACATTGGGGAGGAGAAGGAAAGGCAGGTAGACTCAGAGGATGGTTCACTTAAGAATGCTAGATTCAGGGAGCAGTAGGACAGCAGGTGGTGTGCTTGCCTTGCATGCAGCTTGCCTTGAACCTGGGTTCAAACTCCGGCACCCCATATGGTTCCCTGAGCACCACCAGAAGACCCCTGAGCACAGAGCCAGTTGTGAGTCCTGAACATGACAGGATGTGACACACCTACCCCCAAATTAAGAAAAGCTGGATTTAGGGACCAATGAGATAGTTTAGGGCACTTGCACACTGCTGATCCTGGTTTCAATCCCTGGCAGTATCTATGGTCCCCTGAGCATCACCAGGAGTGATCCCAAGTACCACTGGGTATGACCCAGAAACAAACAAATTTTTGAAAAGATTGCTGGATTCAGTCATGATACCCTAAGGCCATTGTTTTCAAGTGATGAGAAAAAGTGTCAAAGGTCTTACATGAGATAGAACCCAGACCCTAAACACTACCAGTTTCAAATCCAGGGCCTTAAAATGGGGGGATTTGATTTAAAAAATACCTGACTTTAAATGACTTGGTCAAAAGATAAAAGTTTTCTATTCCCAGATAATCATGTTCTTTTCCGATTTTCAGGAAGACCTAGACAGACGGTACAACATGGAGAAAGAGAAGCTTTATAAGATCCGGTTGCTACAGGTGAGTGAAAGCTGTTAGTAATCACAAGAGCACTGAAGTATTTCTGACCAAATGTGAGAGGCAGCAGCAGAACCGCCCAGTGTCAGTATTGAAGCACGAGACTTGTCACCAGGGCTGCTGCTCACCAGTCTTCTCTCTGAGGTAGAGCTCGGTGCTTCAAGAGGCTCATCATAACACTGGTACACTTCTTACACGATCATTTGTCTCAGTTGGGGCACAGGTGTTACTCCCTTTTCTTTAGGAAGATTCTTCTTGTGGAAGAAATCGGTCTGGACATTTGCCCAGCGTCAAACAGCTGATAAGTGAAAGCACCAGGATTCAAGTTCTGATGTTCTTGTCTGGTATCTTTTCTCTGAAATTTAGGGCCCATTCTGTCTTATTTGATAACTTTTGAGGGGGGTGGAATAAAAGTTTCCCCATTGGCATTTGGGAGGACCTCGCCAGACAGTATTCTGCCCGGTGCTCAGTTCTCACATAGGCAGACACTTGCGCCATCCCTGTGAGCATCCCTGGCCCTGGAGTATTCGACTTTTAAGTTAACACTAAATTCACAGGGTCAGAATGATACTGTAAACTTCTTACATTGCCAGGGTCTGACTCATGCCAGCTCAGAAACCCACAGTTAACTTACCTTGAATTTTGCCTTTGGCCCGTTCTCTTCCCTGGGTAGCAAGTAAAAATGGTCATACGGCTATGGGAGTCAGCGAGATTCTGTTTTTCTCATCTCTGTATCCTGCTTATTTTGGTGAGTTGTTTGAGTCAATTCTGGTGAGACAAATTTTGACTTGATACTAGCACACTGTATTAATCTTAGAAGATTAATCCCTTCTGATGAAGTCATTTGAAGTCAGGCATTTTTAACAAATTTCCCCCACTTTAAGGCCCTGAATTTGAAAATGGTAGTGTTTAGGGTCTGGATTTTATCTCATGTAAGACCTTTGACACTCTAGGTGTGTGTCCAGGAAGGGGGAAAAAAAAATGAGTTAGGTTTCAAAGAGATAGTATTGTAGATAAGGTATTTACCTTTCCACAGCCTGCCCCAGTTCAGTCCCTGACAGCAAGTATGGTCCATCAAGCACAGCCAGAAGTGTTCCCTGAACACAGAATGAGAAAAAGTCCAGAGAGCTGCCAAAAATTTAAAAATTGTTTGGGGCCAGAGTGGAATGTTTGCCATGCATGCAGACAACCCAGGTTCAATCCCTGGTATCCTATAAGGTCCCCCAAGCATCACCAAGGAAGAATTTCTGAGTGCAGAGCCAGGAGTAACTCCTGAACATCACTAGGTGTGGCCCAAAATCCAAGATAATAATAATAATAATATGATAATAATGAGTTAAATAAATAAATGTGTCCAGGGCCTTTTAGAAAGTTAATTTGTCAATGACCACGGACTGACTAGGTATTGGGTCTGATGCTGGAGTATCAAGATTGTGAGGGTTGGGAGTTAGCCCTCCGTGATTGTAAGTGAGCACATGAAAATGCAGGTTGATAAAAACCAGTGATCTTTGTAAGGATACGTGGACAGTGACAAAAATGGACACATGTCATTGTACACGGAAGGATGGGCAGCGGAAAGGAGGAATCTACAGTGACAGAGTGGCTGGGTCGCAGTGGCAGGAATTGGGAAGGGAGGAGCTTGGGGGCTCTGTCAAGGGACAGGAGATATTACTGGAAGTCAGGCTGGAGTTGAAATGGGGGGAAGCTGAGAATTGCCCCTTAGCTGTTTCTTAGAGAAGGTCTGTGGTGACGTTGGCAAGAGCAGCTTCTTTTTTTTTTTTTTTTAATTTTTATTAGTGAAACACCATGAGGTACAGTTGTAGACTTACAAATTTTTGTGCTTGGGTTTCAGTTATACAATGATCAAGTGCGCATCCCTCCACCAGTGCCCATTTCCCACCACCTCGGATCCCAGTATCCCTCTGGCCCCCCATCCCCCCCATCTCACCCTGCCTCTGTGGCAGGGCATTCCCTTTTGTTCTCTCTCTCCTTTTGGGTGTTGTGGTTTGCAAAAGAGGCATTGAGTGGCAATCATGTTCGGTCTATAGTCTACTTTCAGCAGGCATCTCCCATCCTGGGAGGATCCTCCCAGCACCCTTTATTTGGTGAAGAGCAGCTTCTTGCAGGTGTTGGGGAAGCCCCGCTGATGGGTTAAAGGAATCAGGAAAGGGTCAGTGAGGCGGGGTGAGAGGCAGAGAGGGCATCTGGCTCGCTGACATTTGACTGGGGAGGGGAAGAGGATTTTGGAGGCAGCAGGATGGCATGGCATCTTATCATCAGAAATGCTTTTCTTTTCTTTCTATTGAATCGCCGTGAGATACAGTTACAAAACTTTCATGTTTGAGTTAGTCATGCAGTGATCAAACACTCATCCCTCCACCAGTGGAAACACCTTTCTAGTTCCCTGTTCCCCCCTGCTCAAGTGTCCTTAGGGGCCCACTGAGCTGACAGGAGCTGTCTGCAGAACTCTTCCCACACAGAATCTTCCTTCTGGACCCTTACATGTCGTGCCTCTGTGGCTGGACCCATTCTGGGGGCTACAGAATCTCAGGCTAGCAGCATCGGTTCGTATCTGCATTCCGGGCTGCGTGTCTGGGCTCCGTAGGCCGAAGGGGGTGGTATTTCGCCTCCCCGGAGAATACACAGTGCCTCTCTCCAAGTAATCTTGTCGCCCCTGCCTTCTGCGTTGCAGGCCCGGAGGAATCGAGAAATCGCCATTTTGCATCGCAAGATTGATGAAGTGCCCAGCCGAGCCGAGCTAATACAGTATCAGAAGAGATTTATTGAACTCTACCGCCAGAGTACGTGCCTCAACCGCAAACAAGCTCTGGGGCTGGTCAGGGCGGGGAGGTGCGGGGTTGGGGGCGGCCACCAATAAACCCCAGGGCCCTCCCCCTCCAGGGCCCAGTGCTGCATGTGCCACGCCAGACTCTGAGCATCACTCCAGCATGGACTCCCAGCTGCTGTCAGACCCAGCTGGCCCCTCAGGGCAGTCACTGCCTTACTGCCCGCTCCACTCAATGACCGTTAGCTGGTCAGGGCCCCTTCCCCAGAGCCCTCTTCCTGACTGCGCCACCCTCCCTTAGCTGATGAGTGCCAAACTTGTAGGAGTCCCACATCTTTGGGCTGTACTGGTGGAGGCTCCTCCTCCTTATGCCCAGAGTGTCGTGTCTTCCTGGAAGCCCCATTCCTACTCTGAGCCCAGTCTCTGGCCCTCAGCACCCACACGTGACCTCTGAACATACCCTGGACTCTGGGGGACAGCGGTCAAGGGGAGCGCATATGTCCTACAGGCCACACCCAGCGCTGAGAGCTGGGAGGTCACCCCAGCAGGGCTCAGGGGACCATGTGGTACAGGAGATCAAGCCCAGGCGTTCCACGTTCAGAGCTTGAACCCCGGCCCTGTAAGCTATCTCCTTCGCCCCCACACCGTGTGCTTTCACCCCTCCTCATTCTTCTTCCCAACACCCAGGACCCCTGTTCTGTTAGACAAAGTCCCGCAAGACCCAGTTCAGATACGCTCTGTAAAGTAAAGGCCCTCCCGTTGATCATCGATTTGCTCGAGCGGGCCCAGTAACGTCTCCATTGGAGACTTTGTTGTTACTGTGTCTGGCATATCGAATACGCTCGGTAGCTTGCCGGGCTCTCCGAGAGGGGCGGAGGAATCGAACTTGGGTAGGCCATGTTGGTTGCATGCAAGGCAAACGCCTTACCACTGTGCTATCACTCCAGCCCTATACGCTCTATAAACAGGCCCTAATCCAGGGGCTGGAGCGATAGCACAGCGGGTAGGGCGTTGGCCTTGCATGCAGCCAACCCTGGTTTGATTTCCCAGCATCCCATATGGTCCCCTGAGCACTGCCAGGAGTAATTCCTGAGTGCAGAGCCAGGAGTAACCCCTGTGCATCACCGGGTGTGACTCAAAAAGCCAAAAAAAAAAACAAAAAACAAGTCTCCTAATCCAGCACCCCCTCCTCTGAGCTCCCACTCACCATGTCTCCCTGAATACCTTCCACCAATGTCCCCAGTGTCTTGGCCTGGGAGCTCGTCCCCAAGTCCAGAATGCCACTGTGCTCTGATTCTTACCTGACAGATTCCAGCTCTCCAAAATCCACCGTGGGGGCAAAGAGATAGTACAGCGTGTAGGGCGCTGGCCTGGCTCGCCACCATCCCAGGTTCAATCCCTGGCATCCCCTATGGTCCCCTGAGTCTCACCAGGAGTGATCTTGAGCTCAGAGCCAGGAGTAAGTCTGGTGGGTGTGGCGACAGCAACAAAATACCCATCTCAGACTTTTCCATCAACTCTTGGCCTCTTGGGAATTCTTGCTGGTTCTAGCTAGACTAGGACCCTTACCTTAGTCCAGAGTTATAATTTCCTTAACATGTCTTTACATACCAACCATCAGGTTGTCTGAAACAGACCACACATTTGAGTCAGGTGATCAGGGTCCCCAGTCTTCGTCCCCCTGCCCTCCCCAACACCCCCGCCCCTCGGTTCCTTGTCAGTGTTTCCATTTCTAAGCAGAAAATAGTTTCCGCCTATAAGTTAAGCCTCTTAATCTTCTGCATCTGCCTATTGCAAAGCTTTAAACAATAGCAAGTAATGTCATACTTGCATATTTCTCAGAGTAAATATCACTCATGCCTGACATTTTAATCTGTCGCTGTCTTCCCATTGTTCATCAATTTGCTCGAGAGGGCCCAGTAATGTCTCCATCGTGAGACTTTGTGTTTGGCATATCGAATACGTCACGGGTAGCTTGCCAGGCTCTGCCCTGCGGGCGAGATATTCTCGGTAGCTTGCCGGGCTCTCTGAGAGGGGCGGAGGAGTCGAACTCAGGTCAGCCATGTTGGCTGCTTGCAAGGCAAATGCCCTACCCGCTGTGCTGTCGCTCCAGCCCAACATTTTAATAGGATAACTTTATACCAAATAGATGTTACTAAGGAGTTGTTCCAAAACATATCTCTTTTATTTATCACCCAGTATCAGCAATCTGTAGTCCTTGGGGCTCTGTGGGAAGAAAGACAGATTTCTGGGCAGTAAAGCTGAAGCAGGACTAGGCTGTGAATGAGAGCGATTTTCAGCTTTGAGAACCCTCTGTAGTCACTGTGTTCCTTCCTTCCACATGTTCTTACTTGCGTGCTGATATCTTTGCGTTTACAGTTTCAGCAGTGCACAAAGAAACCAAGCAGTTCTTCACTTTGTATAATACCCTGGACGATAAAAAAGTGTACTTGGAAAAAGAGGTAAGAGCTCCTGTGAGAGTTTTTAAAATATGTGAAACCTAATCAGGGGACCGGAGATACATATGTACAGGGGTGAGGGTACTTGCACACAGCCGGCCCAGGCTTGGTTGCCAGCACCACAGATGGTGCCCCAAGCACAGCCAGGCATAACCCCACCGGGCCTAAAGCCAGGAGTAATCCCTAATCACTGTGTGGGTGTGGCCCAAGCCCAGCACGATCACGACCATCCTGTTGTTCGTCGATTGCCTCGAGCAGGCACCAGTAACGTCTCCTTCGTCCTACCCTGAGATTCTAAAGAGCCACATTCAAGGCTCTTTCAGGGTTAGGGGAATAAGACCCATCATTGTTATTGGTATTTGGCATATTGGTTATGCCATGGGGAGTTTGCCAGACTCTACCATGTGGGAAGGTTACATTCGGTAGCCTGCCAGGTTGTCCAAAGCAAGAATGAGATAATAAGATAACGTGTGGCTTGGGAGAAGCATGCTGAGAGTAGACTATAGACCAAACATGATTGTCACCCATTGCCTCTTTTGCAAACCACAACACCCAAGAAGAGAAAGAGAACAAAAGGTTATGCCCTGCCACAGAGGCAGGGTGGGATGGGAGGGGAGGGGGGGTGGGAGGGATACTGGGATCCGTGGTGGTGGGAAATGGGCACTGGTGGAGGGATGGGTATTTGATCATTGTATAATTAAAACCCAAGCACACAAATTTGTAAGTCTACAACTGTACCTCGTGGTGTCTCACTAATAGAAAAAAATAAATTAAAAAAAAAAAAAAAGATAACGTGTGGCTGCAAATGCGGCCGGCTGCGCTTCCAGGAGCTGGTTTTTATAGTCTCTGGGTCTTGGCCGTTGATGGGATTACACAGCACCAGGGGGCCAGTTGGTGGGTGTGACCCCCGCCTACTGGAATTTGGAGGATCTGGGTGGAGGATGCTCAGCCCCAATCCGAGTAGGCTTGGAGATCTCGGCCCCAGGACCCGCAGGCCTTTGCTCCTCTGCCGGTACCTTCATGCGTGTGGAGAGTGGTCTCAGCATGGTGGGGGCTGGTTCTGGAGATCTTCGGCTGCCGGGGCTCTGGTCGGGGTGGGGAGGGAAACTCAACTCGCCCCCTCCAAGGGGCCCCAGCAAGGACAGCCAGGCATGGGGGCAGGAGACTCTGCGCTGTTCTCTTCCAGGAGCTGGGTTTTATAGTCTCTGCATCTTGGCCATTGGTGGGATTACAGGGCACTGGGGGACATGCGGGTCCCAGGGCTGAGATCTCCAAGACTGCTCAGTTGGGGCTGAGCATCCTCCACCCAGATCCTCCATCTTCCAGTAGGCGGGGATCACACCCACCAACTGCCCCCCAGCACTGTGTAATCCCATCAACGGCCAAGACCCAGAGACTATAAAGCCCACCACCACCATCCCCAAAAATTAATCAGATGAACCACTACCAGCGCTGTTGACCCTGGAATTTCAAGTGACGTTGGCCTCTGGGCTACATTCACTTTAAGTCCTAGACACATCTGCCCAGCTCTGAGACACAAGTCAGGAAGTGGCAGATTCCTTGGATGCTGGAGAGCCTCAGGGGACAGCAGGCCCCTGGGCAGCTGTTTTCTAGTGCCCTGTGAGAAACACCTCATTCACAGTGAGTCGGTGCTGGAGTTGTCCACGAGACTTTGGTTTGCCTTTCAAAGGAAGGAAGGAACTAGCAAAAATGAAGTAGGGCTAGTAGTTTCCCTGGACAAATACTCTGTGGTCACCAGTGGCCCACGTAGGCCTGAACTAAAAGAAATGGGAAATTCAAAGCAGGGGTGAAAAGAGGTGAACATGTGGGATTGGCCCCCTCCCCTTATTATTCTACTGAACCTCAGCTCAAACCCAGTTACTATCTGGAGCTCCCCCGCATTGCAAGGCAATTGATTGGGGTGAAGTATGCAACTCGGTGTTTGCACAGCACAGTGCGGTAAGGAGAGCTGGAACTTAGGAATCAGGCAGAGCCCTGGAATTTTAGTCTCACCGTGTCTCCCACAGATGGATGAAACGGACTTAACAGCCTGCTTCGTAGGATTATGGTGGAGAGAGTGACTTGATAGTCCCTTGAATATAGCAATTCTCAATACATATGAGTTCCAGCCTGCCCCCTCACCAGGGATTGACAAATTAATTTCGTTTTGTCACTTTGCAACAGTGCTCTTAATAATCTCTCCAGTAATCAAGAACAGTATTGCATGGATCTTCTACCTGAGTCCAGATGGAGGCATCTGTAATTATTGTCACCTTTATTGCCTCTTGTCAGTCAAGCTAGACCAATCTCTTTCCTCCCGGAGGTCATTCCTCGAGGGAGGAATTGAATTTTGGTTATTTTTCCTATCCAGAGGCTTACGCTACAATGGGCACAGAAGAGGAGTTTGCTAAATGACTTAATCATGGTTAGTAATTTCCGTCAGACCTAGGACAGAGTTCTGCTACTCTCCCTGGCCTTGGGTTCTCCCTGATGAGGGGGAAAAAACTTGCCCACTCTAACTTAGGGTCAGGCCAGGCCCTTCTGAGAAAGCTGTGAATGTCATCGACCCTCCTTCATCAGCAATGTTTCAAGTTGTAGACGTCCTCTCAAAAAAGAGCATCTCGGCAGTGGGAGCCTCTTAGTTTTATGCCACCTTAGCACAGTTAGAAATCTGATTCAAAATACACTGTGCATTTTATTCCAAAATCACGTATGGCTGCAGTATTTTACTTTCAAACACCCCCGTAGGGATAAGAATGGTATTTCTTTTTTTTTTCTTTTTTTTTTCGGTGGTTTGTGAAGTAGCACAGTCCTCCTGTTGGTCATCAATTTGCTTGAGCGGGCACCAGTAATGTCTCCATTGTGAGATTTGTTGATACTGTTTTTGGCATATCGAATATGCCACGGGGAGCTTGCCAGGCTGAGTGACAGAGGAATTGAACCCGGGTCAGCTGCATGCAAGGCAAACGCCCTACCTGCTGTGCTATCGCTCCAACCCAGGTTTGTGAAATGCTAGAAAAATGGAAACTTTGCAGTGTTCTGCAGCATGCCTAGAATTGGAAGATGTCCTGCTAAGTGAAGTTAGTCAGAGAACAGAAGACCAACATAGGATGATCTCGCGTCTATGTGGAGTCTAAGGAAAGGGATTAGACCATCTCAACGGAAACAGCACTGAGATGTGGCCAACGGGGCTGGGAACAGAGGGGGCAAGGAGGGGCCAGAGAGCTAACTCCTCAGGGAGGGCATGTACCTTGCACCTGGCCAACCAAGATTATCTCCCCAGCACCCTACATGGTCCTCTGAGCACTGCCAGGAGTGATCCCTGAGCCCAGAGCTGGGAGTAACCCCTCAGCATTGCCAGCTGTGGCCTAAAATCAGAAGAAACAACCGAAGGAGGCAGGGCTCCTGGGACAGTGTTGAAAGGGTCTTGACGCCTTGGAAGGGGGTTAGTGTGGACACTGCGGGCACCCCACAATGGCTTCTTCAGTCCTGTTGTAAACCAGGGTGCCTCAATGAAAAAAGAATAAGTAAATCATTGTTTTTGAAAGAATATCATTTCTCAGTTATAGACTGAGTCTAACTCTCACATATACAGAGCTATAATTTATTAGCCCTTGGCTTACAAATTGACACAGGAAGAGGAGCTGGGTTTCTGCACTCTCGACTCCGTGCCTTGCCCTGGACTTGGCCACCAGGGCTGATAAAGGCTCCTGCTCGGTGGGCTCGGGCAGTTTCCAGAGGAACGGCCTGGAATCCAGATCTACCCTGTAGCTGGCCACTCTGACAAAGAAGATCGTGTGGGGAGGAGTGGGATGGGCACCGCGTTCTTTCTTCTGTCCCTGACTGACCCTCTAAGCTGCCAGTCCCACTCGGTCCTCTCTTGGGATTTAGACTCAGAAACCCTCTTCCCTGCTTTCCATGGCCATGGGTTGTCAGCAGGTAGGATGCTGTGTGGGAAATTACGGGACTCAAAAGTAGAGCAAGAGGGGCTGGAGTGATAGCACAGCAGGTAGGGCGTTTGCCTTGCACGCGGCCGCCCCGGGTTCAATTTCCAGCATCCCATATGGTCCCCTGAGCACCGCCAGGGGTAATTCCTGAGCGCAGAGCCAGGAGTAGCCCCTGTGCATCGCTGGGTGTGATCCAAAAAAGCAAAAAAAAAGTAGAGCAAGATTATGGGGAATCATGTCTGCCATGGAGGCAGGGGGAGGGTGGGAAAGGGGGGGTATACCGGGGATATTGGTGGTGGGGAATGTGCACTGGTGGAGGGATGGGTGTTTGATCATTGTGCGATTATAACCCAAACAGGAAAGCTTATAACTATCTCACGGTGATTCAATAAAATTTAAAAGAAAAAAGAAAATTATGGGACTGAGGGGCTGGAGTGATAGCACAGCTGGTAGGGCGTTTGTCTTGCATGGCCTACCGAGTTCGATTCCTCCGCCCCTCTCGGAGAGCCCGGCAAGCTATCGAGAGTATCTCCCCCGCGCAGCAAAGCCTGGCAAGCTCCCCGTGACATATTTGATATGCCAAACACAGTAACAAGTCTAACAATGTTATTGGGCCCGCTTGAGCAAATTTGTGAACAACAGGACCGTGACCATGATGGGACTGAGAACGCACGTGCACCTTCCAGAAACTGTCTCCAGAGATCAGCGTTTGGTGGATGAGTAGCTGAGGGATCTTTCCAACTTGGCTTACCTTTGTTTTCTTGCCTCTTCCCAGATTAGCCTGCTGAACTCAATTCATGAGAACTTCTCTCAGTAAGTACTGTCAGTCCTCCCTTCAGTGTGAGGTGTATGGGGACTTGGTGGTCTGTGACGAAGACCCCCACTGCCAAGTACATACGCAGCTTGCTGTCCCTGCTCCTTGCGTTCTTGCAAATATACAGTGATATTAGAGTGAACTTTAAATGCACCAAGAAATTACCTTGGGGGTGGTGGGGAGGGGAATAGCATACAAATGATTCACTTGGCCAAACTATCAAAAATACCTTTATTACTTTTGTCTTGCTAAAATCAGGTTAATATTATTTGTTGTTGAGCATGTAGCAATATTTTAAAATTTTGATACTAGGGGCCAGAGAGAGAGTATATATCAGGCAGGGCACTTGCCTGGCATGTGGCTGATTGAAGTTTGATCCCCAGCATCCCAGAAGGTCGTTCCCCCTCCCCCTCCCCAAGCACAGCCAGGAGTGATTCCTGAGTACAGAGCCAGGAGAAACCCTTGAGCACTGCCAGTGTGGCCCAAAGACCAAAAAATGAATTTAAAAAATAAAATTTAGACAAAATAAACTCATTGGGGTTGAGGTAAGAGGGTTGGGTGACACCCAGCTGTGCTCCGGGCTTACTCCTGGCTCTAGGCTCGGGGATCAATCCCAGTGGGCTCAGGAGGCCATCAGCGGTACCAAGGATCAGAATGGAGTTTGCTCTGTCTAAGCAAGTGCCCTCCGTACTGTACTCTCTTCTGTCCTTTCTTTATAATTCCTTAAAGATTTTTAAAATCTCAGGGCTGGAGCATTAATACAGCAGGTAGGGCGCTTGCCTGGCACCCAGCCAACCTAGATTTGATCCCCAGCATCCTGTATGGTCCCCCAAGCCTGCCAGGAGCCATCACTGAGTGTTGAGCCTGAGGAGTGCTAGGTAGGGCCTAAGACCCAGGACGGGGGGGAATTTTTTTTCTTTTTTAATCTCATGGTACGTTTTGTCTTCCACGAGTTGGCCTAATTTCAATACGAATTCATTTCTCAAAAAGATGGAATAGCAAGTTCATCTGTGCCCAAGTCCTGCCAGGCCTCCTGAGGCGCGACCCCCTTCTCCCACTGCCTGGGGAGGCCCCGGCCTGCTCGCTGAGGAACTGACTTTTCCTGAACACCCATCTCAGCTGTCCCCTGGGAGGTGTCCAGGGACTGCAATCTTAATGGATTACAAGCTCTAGATTTTTAAGCTCCATTTCTAATGAAAATCAAACAGAAAGCCCGCAGCTCCCTGATGAGATTCAGCTTCAATTAGTGACATATGACCCCTTGACATTTCTGAAAATGGTCCTCCTGCTTTTTCCTCTGGGTAACTGAGAGAATCTGTGGCAGGAATGCTGTCGCAATGAGATCGCCCCTCTCCTCTCTTGGTGCATCTCCTGAAAGTCTCAGTCCTGACTTCTGGCATGCCATGGTGGTTTTTTTTTTTTGTGGGTTTTTTTTTTTTTTTTCGACTTTTTGGGTCACACCCGGCAATGCACAGGGATTACTCCTGGCTCATGCACTCAAGAATTACTCATGGGGGCTGGAGCGATAGCACAGCAGGTAGAGCGTTTGCCTTGCACGCAGCCAACATGGCCGACACAGGTTCGATTCCCAGCATCCCATATGGTCCCCCGAGCACCGCCAGGAGTGATTCCTGAGTGCATGAGCCAGGATTAACCCCTGAGCATCGCCGGGTGTGACCCAAAAAGCAAAAAAAAAAAAAAAAAAATTGGAAAAATTACTCATGGCGGTGCTTGGTGGGCCATATGGGATGCTGGGAATTGAACCCGGGTCAGCTGCATGCCAGGCAAGCGCCCTACCCACTGTGCTATCACTCTAGCCCTGCCATGGTTTTTGTCTGCCATGTGCCCCTCGGCGGCTACTGGAGGAGGAGAGAGCATGTTAGGATGGTGGAGTAGCTGCTGGTTGAGCTGCCACTTCTCATATGGTCTCTCAACCTGGCATTAGGAAAACCAGAGATAATCTGCCTGTGTTTCACAGTATCTCCAAATCCTCAGATTTGGTTGAAGAGGTGGGAGTTGTTTGGCCCACACCCGGGGTGCTCAGGGGGTGACCCCTGGCCATGTTCAGGGGACCATGTTCGGTCCTGCATGCAGAGCAGAAGCCTTACCTCCTGTCCTTCCTCCATGGCTTCAAATCCTCAGATTTTGAAGTTGTAAATGGAATTCATTTCTGAAGCAGTAATGAAGCGTGCCACCTTTCAATGTAGATGTTGATGCCTGGAAGGCAGTTACCGATAAATATGCATGCCTTATATGGACGAGGTACTGGGTTCCATCCACAGCACCCCAGAAGAGAAATACTTTTGCTACTATGAGTTACTTCTTCCTTGACTCTCCAAAAATATTTATTACTTAAGAAATTTATAGGAGGGGACTGGAGCAATAGCACAGTGGGTAAGGCGTTTCCCTTGCACGTGGCCAACCTGGGTTCGATTCCCAGCATCCCATATGGTCCCCAAGCACCGCCAGGAGTAATTCCTGAGTGCAAAGCCAGGAGTAACTCCTAGGCATAGCCAGTGTGTGACCCAAAAAGAAAAAAAAAAAAGAAATTTATAGGAAGACAGGAGGGAAAAAAATTATAAGACCAATCTCATTTTCTGGCCTTCCTGGGAGTTTAGACTCTGTCTCTCCTGGGTCCCTGTGCCTTCTCGTCCCTCGGGGCTGATTCCTTGGTGCCTGCTCCTTCTCCGAGTCCCATGCGCTGATCTCACCTCTGCTGGTTTTTCTTCCAGGGCCATGGCGTCCCCTGCTGCCCGGGACCAGTTTTTACGTCAGATGGAACAGATCGTAGAAGGAATCAAGCAGAGCAGAATGAAGGTCAGCTGACTGTTTTTCTATACCTGTCCCATGCGTTTCCGGTGGGTGATGGCCACGGCCAAGGAAGGAGCAGGCTTCTAGGGGTTCTGGGAACAAGCTCAAAGTCTGGAGGACAAAAGCCAGGCTGAGCCCCTCTCCACAGCTGTGTACACTGTGGCTCAGCCTCTGCTCTGAGCAGCTGTTTCCATGGATTAGAATACTAACTATGTGCCAAGCACCGTGCTGCACCTCCTGCAGGGGTCCAGGGGAGAGTGGTGCACCCCTGTTGGTCGCTGAGGAAACCAGCTTTCTCCCAGGCTTCGTCTTCTAGCCCAGACCACTTCTTCACTGGTTCCTGACTTTTATCCCTTAGGATCTTGAAGGTATTTTGTTGTTGTTGTTCTCAGGAAGCTCCTACAACGGACAGTATAAATAATTGCTGTGCTGAATTCTGCTCAGCTCAGAGGCTTTCGCCCTCAGAAGTCAGAGGAGAAAAGAGAAAGACTGGAAGGGGGTGTAGGAACTGTAGAAATAGCTTTACAGTGCATCCTTCCTCCCGGGGGCAATGTGGATTTTCCTTCCCATGGTGACTCCTACCTCGGGCAGTGTATCAGTAGTGATGGAAAGCCACCAACTGTCATGAGCCAGAGAGGGTACAGTTTCCTGTTGCCATAACCGGAGAAATCCTAGCCAATCATGGCAGATGTCTTTTTTTTTTTAATTTTATTGAATCACCGTGAGATAGTTACAAGCTTTCATGTTTGGGTACAATCACACAATGGTCACACACCCATCCCTCCACCTGCACATTCCGCACCACCAATATCCCTGGTATACCCCCCTTCTCACCCTCCTCCTGCCTCCATGGCGGACAGTATTCCCCATACTCTCTACTTTTGGGTAGTACAAGCACTGAGAGGTCATCATGTTTGGTCCATTATCTACTTTCAGCACATCTCCCATCCCGTCTGATTCCTCGAGGCATCGTTGTCTTAGTGATCCCTTCTCTATTCCAGCTGCCTTCTCCCCTCCGCTCATGAGACAGGCGTCCAGCTATGGGGCAGTCCTCCTGGCGCTTGTATCTACTTTCCTTGAGTGTCAGCCTCATGTTATGTTATTCTGTACTTCACAAATGAGTGCAGTCCTTCTATGTCCGTCCCTCTCTTTATGACTCTCTTTATGACTCATTTCACTGAGCATGATACTCTCCACGTCTATCCATTTATGAGCAAATTTCATGACTTCATCTCTCCTAACAGGCAGATGTGTCTTGCTTTCAGCCCTGTTTATAAAACGCATCACACCAGAGGACTCCTCAGCTGAGGTTAAGTAGTGAAAGCTTTCTGGGAACCGAAGGTCTCTCCACTCACAGTCTTTGGCCCAGAGGTGCAGCGAGTGGTGCCAGGCTGTAAACACGTAAAGAATGACCTGTAACAGAGGCCTGTCACTCTACAAGCCCACTCGCCAAAGGCAAAACAAATAGTCAAGCTGCCTGCAGTCTCACTCACGAAAGATAAATGGAGGGCAGGCGTTCAGCCTATCCCTTCCCCCGAAGGAAAGCATTCGTCTCCCCATGAGGGACTTGATGTCAGAGGAACAGGGAGGAAACGTTGTGTCACAGGTGACAAGACCATTAGCACACAGCAGCGCAGTTAGATGGCAGCCGTGCATACCTGGTTGGTGCGCATTATCGGGTGCCCGGCCGGGCAGCCCCTGGTGGGGAGCAGTTGGAATCACTTCCTGATAATCGGGGCCATTGGGCAGCCGGAGGACCTGGCTCAGCGCAAACCTTGAACAGCCCAAATCTCAAGACACCACCCCTACACACACACACACACACACACACACACCCCACCACCACCACCACCGATTCTCAGGGAGCTGTTCTCCTTTGTGGTAAAGAACAACAGGAGGAACTGGAGCGATAGAACAGTGGGTAGGGCATTTGCCTTGCATGCAGCTGACTTGGGTTCAATTCCCAGCATTGCATATGGTCCCCCGAGCACTGCCAGAAGTGATTTCTGAGTGCAGAGCCAGGAGCAACCCCTGAACATCGCTGGGAGTGACCCAATCATGGAATCACTGTAATCCTGTTGTTCCTCAATTTACTCAAGCGGGTGCCAGTAATGTCTCTGTTCATCCCAGCCCTGATATTTTAGCAGTCACTCCTAACTCATTTTTCCCAATGATTGGAAGCTCTTTCAGGGTCAGGGGAATGAGACCTGTTATAGTTACTGTTTTTGGCACATCGAACACGCCATGGGGAGCTTGCCAGGCTCTGTCTTTGTGGGCAGAACACCCTCGGTAGCCTGCCAGGCTCTCCGAAAGGCATATATATATTTTTTCTCTAAATTTATTGTCTACTGTCTGAACCCCATCAAACATGGTGTGGTAATCATGGCAAAAGGGTAGAAAGTGTCTTAAAATGTGTCACACAGCCGCAAAGCGGCCACAGTCCAGAAAGCGGCCTGGAGTGTGGTGGCAGGTGGGTAGTCGAGGTCAACTGCCAGGGCTGGGTCCCTTGGGGCGGGGACGGCTCTCACCCCCCCACCCCCCGGGGCACCCCAAGTGAAAACAGCCTGGCGTGGAGTCCAGCGGCATAGCTACGGAAGCCCCATTTTGTGCTCCCTTCCCGGAAAAGCAGCCGTGAGTTCTGGAGGGTGGCAATGAGGAGATCACCTGGCACCAGCAGGGAGTGGCATCTGGGTATGACCCCTGGTTCTCCAGAGACGGGGAAGCAGGCAAGGGATCTCTGTTCCCGGGTCCAGTTGGGCCCAGAGTCCAGTCCACAAAATGCCTCATTACCTGGGTTCCATGCGGCTTCACTCATAACCCAAAAAGAAAGAAAAAGAACAACAGGAGTATATTGGGCTCTTCCCTTTGATTTCCTTTTCCTGTTTACTGGGAAATCAGTTCTGGGGGGGACACAGACCTGGCCCGTATAGTCTCTCTCTTCTCCAACACTTTTGCTTGGTGCATCAAATGGGAGATAGTCAGGACCAAGCAGACCCTCATATCTATGTCTTTGTCACCCATGGCTCCCACAGCACCTGGTGCAGGGTGGGCACTCCGCAACTTCTGGCTAAATAAACCCATGCAGTAGACTCTTCCTTCAAGGGGATTCCAGATAGATTGTGAGTGTTGAGGGGTGCCTCGAATGGAATAACCTGTCTGCTTTGCAGAGTAGCACGCATAGGAATGGATGACTTGTGTTTGTCTAGAGAAAACCATGCCACATGCATGGAATGAGACTTAGGGGGACTTAGGGGGACCAGGTTGCAACCGCGTTATCAGCGGAGGTGCGTGGCCTGGAGCAAGGAGAGACCCACTCCTAGGGAGAGCCAGTCCAGCTTCAACTTGTGTTTTCTGACTCTGAAATCCCTTCCAAAGTGTAACTCAGAAAGAGAGTCTAGGCGTCAACAGAGCAGTGAGTCAAGGCCAAGCATTGCTTGTGATTTCCTCCAACATGCTCCTGGGCACTTCCTGGCGGGGTCATTCTCCCAGGGAGCTTCTGCAGAGCTCCTCCGGCTGGAAGAGAACATGTTCTTCCAGTCACCCCGCCCTGTCCGCCTTCCTCCCAGGACTGATGACAGACGGGGCTCCTTGGATGCTTAGTTCTCTCTCCAGAAGGTGCCCACTCTGGGAGAAGGGAAGCTGCCGGCTAGTACCACCTTTGGGCCGCAGGCTACTCACTCAACATTTGTTGAATTAATAAGCACTTAGATACCTTGGGAGGTGTCTTTAATCAAAGTCTGACCTTCCTGACCTCTCTTGAACATGGATCTCTGTCTCTCTCTTCCCTCATATTTCTCTAAGTAAATTTCTTTTAAGTTTTTTTTTTAATTTCTTTTAAAAAATAAAAATTAAGGGGCTGGAGCGATAGCACAGCAGGTAGGGCATCTGCCTTGCACGCAGCCAACCCGGGTTCGATTCCCAGCATCCCATGTGGTCACCTGAGCACTGCCAAGAGTGATTCCTGAGTGCAGAGCCAAGAGTAACCCCTGTGCATCCCTGGGTGTGATCCAAAAAGAAGCAAAAAAATAAATAAAATTTTAAAGAAACTTAAAATTAAAAAATTAAAAGTAAAAAATAAAAATATTTTTGCTTCAGTAAAAGGTTAAGGTAAAGGCCCTCCCGTTGTTCGTCGATTTGCTCGAGCGGGCCCAGTAACGTCTCCATTGGAGACTTTGTTGTTACTGTGTCTGGCATATCGAATACGTCACGGGGAGCTTGCCAGGCTCTGCCGTGCGGGCGAGATACTCTTGGTAGCTTGCCGGGCTCTCCGAGAGGGGCGGAGGAATCGAACTCGGGTCGGCCATGTTGGCTGTGTGCAAGGCAGACGCCCTACCGCTGTGCTATCGCTCCAGCCCAAAAGGCCCTCCCGTTGATCATCGATTTGCTGGAGCGGGCCCAGTAACGTCTCCATTGGAGACTTTGTTGTTACTGTGTCTGGCATATCGAATACGTCACGGGGAGCTTGCCAGGCTCTGCCGTGCGGGCGAGATACTCTTGGTAGCTTGCCGGGCTCTCCGAGAGGGGCGGAGGAATCGAACTCAGGTGGGCTATGTTGGCTGCGTGCAAGGCAAACGCCCTACCGCTAGCTCAGTCTCTCTTTCAGTTAGAGTTTCTCGAGGTCAATATCATTAGCATTTTGGATCAAATCATTCCTCGTATGGGGCTTCCCTGTATGCTGTGGGATGTTTAGCAACAGCTGTACTGTCTACTAGAAGTGACCACTCATTCCCAAAAAATAAGTAAGTATTTAATGAATAAATAAGCAAAATAGAATCTAGTAATGGTAGGAGAATTGCTTAATAAATTATAGTACTTCCGTGCAACATCATGCAAGGAAATAAACCAGACTCAGAAAAAGATGCACAGATGGAAAGTACCATAAAGGAAGTCTATGAAAATATCAATAATTAGTTACTTTTTTGACGTTGCCAACCGCCTTTGGTCAGAACATGCCTTTTCTGCGTCTTTCGACAGATGGAAAAGAAGAAGCAAGAGAACAAGATGAGAAGAGACCAGCTGAATGACCAGTACTTGGAATTGTTAGAGAAGCAGAGGCTATACTTTAAGACTGTGAAAGAGTTCAAGGAGGTAAGGGGAAGCTTGGGCAGGTCTGGAAAGCGCAGCGTGGACTCGCGGTTGAAATTCGTTCCCCTAAAGAGGAACCAGCCGCGGCAGGTAACCAGAGCAGTTCTTGGTTCCCCCGTTGGCCTGGCGGGGAAGAGCAGTCGGATCTGACGCCAGAGCCGGGCTTCTAGGTGGAGAGTTGAGGACTGCTCTGCTCTGGGGGTCTCTCGTTGAGTGTGCTGAAGGATGTAACATCTTGGTTTTCATGTTCTTAACGTTTAATCGCACATGAAACTTGGTGCCATCTCTTTATGACAAGGGCCTCCCAGAAAGAGCATTTGCCATCCATTCAGATGTGAACGTTCGCCTTCCCCGGACACAGGATGGGGAGGTCCCTGGGGAGGCCTTTGGGGTGGGAGAACCACCTCAGTGGCTGGCAGGTCTGGGGGGGGGGGGGGGGGGGAACCCTGCGTCACCACCTGCCACCCGTGCAGTTGGTAGCCGTCTTCCATCCGCCCGGCCTCAGGTTCCTCAAGGGCTTTGTGGAGTCAGGTGAGGAGTGAAAGCATCTAGTCCTGCAACTGGCACCTGTGAGGTGGCAGAATCTTGTCTCTACCTGTCTCTCCTTTCTGCTTTGGGGCAGAGTGACACTCTTCTGTGAGTGACTCTCACAGTGACTCTCCCAGAACTGTGCTTGCCCCTGTCTTTTTCTTTTTTTTTTTTAATGATTAACTAATGCATCTTATTTAATGGCATATGCAACAACCCGACTTCCAAACAAGCCCACGTTTCGGTTAGGATTTCAATCATTTCTTTAGGAGGAGAACATAATTCAATCCATACGCTCAATCCATGAAGGTACACAATTCTGTACATTCATTTTTTTTTTTAACTTGGCAAAGTTCCCACTTTATTTTTTTTTCTCTTTTTCTTTGTAGTAGTATTGCTATTTATTCGGCCATTGATTAGGCTGATTGAATTGTTGCCCCTTAACAGATTTTTCAGAAATCTGTACTTGGACTTTATTTGGTCACTTACTAAGGCTGGCCTGGCCAACCCAGGTTCGATTCCTCTGCCTCTCTCGGAGAGCCCGGCAAGCTACCGAGAGTATCTTGCCCACATGGCAAAGCCTGGCATGCTCCCCCTGATGTATTTGACATTCCAAACACAGTAACAACAAGTCTTACAATGGAGACATTACTGGCCTGCTCGAGCAAATTGATGAACAGTGGGAGGACAGTGCTATAATGCTACTAAGATCTCAGAAGCTTTATTTTCAAGAATCCTTTTCCTTTTCCTCCCCTAAATCCACATGGGTTTTTCTTTTCTTTTTTCATTGAATCTCCATGAGATACATTTATAAAGCTTCCATGATTGAGTGTCTGTCATGCAGTAATCAAACACCCATCCCTCCCCCAGTGTGCATTTTCCACCACCAATGTCCCCAGTATCCCTCCCACCACCCCCACCCCCTGCCTCCGTGGTTGGAACCTTCCTTCTTAGTGTCTCTCCTTTTGGGCATCATGAATCCATGTGGTATTAAGTGAGCTTAGAGGTTGCTAAAAATATAAGTGACTTATGGAGACAGAGTGATAATACAGGGAGTGGAGTGTTTGCCTGGCACGCAGCCAATCCTTGGTATCCCGTATGGTTCCCCTCCACCTCGCCCGGAGCCCACCAAGAGTGATTCCTGAGTGCAGAGCCAGGAGTAACTCCTGAGCACCACTGGGTGTGGCCCAAGACAAATGAATAAAGTAAAATAGAGGAGAACTTAGAGATAGTTTGTATCCTGGTGTTTGGCTTACAGAATAAACAACAATCATTCCATACCAATACTTTTGTTCCTATATATATTTTCAAGACTTTTTTTTTTTTTTGGCTTGCCTTCCTTATCTTTTCTGCTTCTCTGTTCCTTCTTCTGGCAAGGATTAGGGCTAAGTAGTTGGAAAGTTTATTGAGTGAGCTGGCAAGGAGCAAACTACGACCCCTTGCTCCCGCCCTCTCCCCCTTTAATCTAAATAACTCATGAAGAGAAAGGGTCCAGAGGAGAGAATGACAGGTCAGATACAGTTGGACATGTCAGCACTGCCCTTTTAGAAGAAGAAACAAAAGCCAGTTAAGTTGAGGAGGATAGTATAGCTGTCCCCCTTTGAGCATAGGGTAGGCTGGGAGAGCTCATCTCAAGCAGAAGGCTGAGGGACACCCCACCCCACACCTCCCTGCCCAGGGCAGCACTCCCTCAGATGTCTTCATATCTGGATTCCTGGGTGTCTGCCCCACCAGGAAAGTCACATCAGAGGCAGGACCAGGAGCTTGCCCATGCCTAAGTTTCCTTCACTCCCAAGCAAATCAGAAGAAAGGGGAGAAGGGATGTACTATGTTCTTCAGGCAGCTAGATAGAGTTCCTTGAAAAGAATTCACTTTTTAAAAAGGGGAAAAAGGGGCTGGAGCAATAGTACAGCAGGTAGGGCGTTTGCCTTGCACGCGGCCTACCCAGGTTCGATCCCCAGCATCCCATATGGTCCCCTGAGCGCCGCCAGGAGTAATTCCTGAGTGCAGAGCCAGGAGTAACCCCTGTGCATTACCAGGTATGACCCAAAAAGCAAAGCAAAAAAAAAAAGAAGAAGAAGAAAAAGAAAGAAAATCACACAGGGTGGTAGTGAGTGGTCCTGTAGCTTCTTCAGGTTTTTTTGTTTGTTTGTTTGTTTTTACATTTTACCTGGCAGAAAATTTTAAACTAACAGCCATGTGTCAGCATCCCCAAACCTGACATTTCTTCTACAAGCTTTTCTGGGGTAACCTGGGGCCATCATGGACGTTGACGGACATGCTGGTGACAGAGTTTGCCTACTGCCCCTCAAGTCCTCACCTCAGACCTTCTGCCAGAGCCGTTCTGCTGCTGTGCTGTTGCAGTCCCAGGTGGCAGAAAAAAAAAAAGTGACAGGAGCACCCCCATCCCAGAGGAAGGTCTTCTCCCAGAAGCCTCTGCTGCCACCCCTGCTTGCCCTCCCACCTGCTGCATCTGCTCCCCAAACCCTGAATTCTCACCGCAGCCTGGTCCCCAGGCCTAACCATTCTCAATGCCTAGCACAGCACCTTTGTCCGGGCCCTGGTATCTAGCAACTCAGCAATTCCCTTTGGTGGGTTACCAGACCCCCCATATTCGTTGATGTCTAGGGGCTCCTTGTAGGTGCCACGTCATGTTCTCATTCCTGACTCCCAGCCTCCTCTTTGGTTAGAGCCATTGGAGGATCTCTGTAAGCCAAACACCAGGATACAACATCCTATTGACTGGCTTGCCCCCAGGGGGATTCTGGTACTCACAAATGTACCTCAGGAAGCAGCATCTGAAATCACCCAAATCTCAGTCGCCAGCCCACTGACGGTGCTCGGAAGCACAGTTCTCAGAAAGTCTCCCGCCCAGCACTGACGGACGCCAGTGGTACATTTCTGTGAAGCTGACTGTGGTTATATAAGCACCAGCCAGCTGAGCTCACCACCAGGGCTGCATGAGCACCTTAGTGGGCACTGAGCGGGCATTAGCAGGCAGGGAAGCCAGCAAAGCCACCTTTCCCCCTTTCTCTTAGAAGAAATGCCGAAACAGCCCTCTCTGTATTTCTTTTGGACAGGAAGACGATATCATCCTGTAATCTCCTGAAAGGCTCCCTGGGAGATTCCAGAAAATGTAATGAGCCCTCGTGGGTTGAGAGGATGCTCAGAGCATCCTCAGGGCCTTGCGCTGCCGTGACCTCCCTGCTTACCCCTAAGGCACTTTACACAGATGTGGCCTGGTGCCTCTCAGCTGTTTTGACCGTTCTGGCCTCCTTTAAGACATGAGGTGCAGTAATGATTGAAATGATTTATTGACATCTTATTGTTCCGTTTTTGTAAAGTTTGAAAAAGAGAGGGGTTAGGAAGTAGTATAGCAGTTCCTGGAGAGAGTACAGGGGTCAAGGTTCCTGCCTTGCATGACCTGGGCTGACCCAGGTTTGATGCCCAGCATCCTGTCTGGTCCCCTGAGCCTGCCAGGAGTAGTCCCTGAGTACAGAGGCAGGAGTAAGTGTGAGCAATGCTGGGTGCAGCTCAAAAACAAAACAAAACAAAAAACATAATACAGCAATAGAATAGGCTAACTTACCTGCCTTATTCTAAGTCATCTCTAAATACACACACACACACACACACACACACACACACACACACACACACACACGACAGAGATAGGGGCTGTAGGGGGTTTTTTTGTCCCTAAAGAAATCTATTATTTTTCACTGTGGGAAGCACGCTCAACCCTGTGTGCCTGGCAGTGCAGTACTACTGGGGGTCACCGATAACCAGGGCCATATCTGCTAGTGTTCAGAGGACGAACATTGCTGGGAATCTTACCCAGAGCCTCACACAGGCAAGATCTGTGCTTAGGAACTCACTTTTAAAATATTTTTTTGTTTGTTTGTTTTACTTTCCTAATAGAACAAAATGCTATCAAGTTCTCTTTGTTTTCCCACTTCCGAGAAAAACAAGATGGGAGCACCCCCCCCCCACACACACACACACACATACAGTAGTGCTCAAGGCCTACTCAGGGATCACTCTTGGTGGACTTGGGAGCATATGAAGTGCCAGAGATTAAGTCTGGGCCAGCCACGTGCAAGGCGAGTGCTCTTGCACTTGTATCATTGCTCCAGTCAAGTTTTCTTTTTCTCTTAAAGCTCAGGCTGGAGCGATAGCACAGCGGTAGAGTGTTTGCCTTGTGCACGGCCAGCCCCGCCGAGCCAGGTTCGATTCCTCTGCCCCTCTGGGAGAGCCTCACAAGCTACCGAGAGTATCTCACCCGCACCGCAAAGCCTGGCAAGCTACCCGTGACCTACTGGATATGCAAACACAGTAACAACAAGTCTCACAATGGAGACGTTACTGTGCCCAATCGAGCAAATCGATGAACAACGGGAGGACAGTCCTACAGTGCTTAAAGCTCAGGCTATTCCTAACCTTCAGTGTTAGCTGGTTAGCACTGTTCTGTATCCTGTCTCCTGGGGCTGCCTTTATCACTCCTCAGACTGTCTCCACGATGACCCAAATCTGGCAGAAATCTGCTTTCTGCTTCTGTCTGTCTCCCTGAAGACGATCGAGGTTTCCTGAACATCTTTGAGAGAGCAGCACCTTCTCCTCCTCCCCTGCCACCAGTCTTATGGTCCAGAACGAAGCGTCACGATAGCTTTGTGGTCATGGGAAGCCAGGGTGTCTTAATGACACCTTTCACCACGCAGGCAGCAGTGAGCAAACGGGAAGGGAGTTTGCTGGTCAGAAGCTTTTCCTGAGACCAGCATGACAAATAGTACAGCGAGTAAAGCATTTGCCGGTTGAATGACCAACCCAGGTTCTGTTCCCGGCACCCAATATGGTCCCCAGACCCCTTACCACGAGGGATCCCTGAGCGTTGTGCTGGTGCCCAACCAGAACTGTTAGGATGAGCCCCGGAGACTGACCCACAAGCGGGCAGGAACACAGGCCCCATGAAAATGGGCGAGCCATCACTCGTGTGATTGGACTGGTTTGGGAAGGGTTAACATCTCTTCCTTAAGCTGCCTTTTAGCTCTTAGTATTACATAGACGCCATCTTCCCTTTCTCACAGATCCCAGACCCAGCTTGTCTTTGAAACACAGACATTCTTACACCCCCTTTATCACTCCAGATGCAAGGAGCTGTAGCTCATGGTGCCGGATCGCTTGGCCGGCCTTGCACTCCTCTCTGGAGGCTGTGACTGTTGGGCTTGCAGATGTGACAGAACAATGTATGCTTTGATGCCTTCATGTCCCTCCTGTAACCCCTTTTCCCCGTGAATGATTTCTCTGTCCTGAGCGCATTAGATGTGTGTACATATCACCGTATCGCTATCGTCCCGTTGTTCATCGATTTGCTCGAGCGGGCGCCCATAACGTCTCCATTCGTCCCAGCCCTGAGATTTTAGGAGCCTCTCCTTACTCGTCCTTCCCAACTCTGCCATATTGGAGGTTCTTTCAGGGTCAGGGGAATGAGACCCGTTATTGTTACTGTTTTTGGCATATTGAATACGCCATGGGTAACTTGACAGTCTCTGCCATGTGTCTGTAGGATAGTGAATAAAAGGGGCTGAGGGATGCTTCTCTATGCTTCTCCACCAGATCGAGCTAGGAGCCTCTCCAGCAAATCTTACTCCTCTTGCGTCTCTTATCTCAGTGCCCCCAACCCAAAGAATATTCACGCAGCAGTGTTGATTGCAGGGCACTGCCAAGTACAACCCCCCCAAACAAAAACCTCTCTCTCTCCTGTGGGACTGGGGTCTCGTATGGATGCCCGTGCCATCACCTCTCAGCATTTTTTTTCTGCTCCCCCTTCAGGAGGGCCGCAAGAATGAGGTGCTGCTTGCCAAGGTGAAGGCCATGGCCTCCTGAACATTCCCGGCCGTCGTCACACACATCCTTGAGTTTCTTTCCAGATGCCACATACCAACTCCCAGACCGCATAGTGGTCCAGCGTTGCTTCCAGAGTGAGATACAGGTGGAAAGAGCTCACAGCCCTGGATGTTTTCTCTCTCCCATTTGCTCCCGCTGCATCTCCATGCCGGTGGGTGGAGTCCAACGGTGTAAATTTGGGGAGGAGGCTCGGAGAATACCCATCCTCCTATCAGGAAAAGCCGGGGAAGGGGTGTTTCTTGTCTGTGTCCATCCAGCTTCTACTTCTCCGGAAACGTTTGCGTATATGAAGGTACCTGTATTTGTATGGACTCTTTGAATAAAGAGAAATTCATTTGTTCAGCAACTATTAATTGAGCAGCCCACCGAGAAATACTTACTAAGGGAGGTAAAACTTAGCCCCTGCCCACCCACCCCTCTCCCAGGTGCCCACTCAGCAAGTGTCCTGGTGGGGGCAGAGAGAGCCCACTTGACCCCAGAACTTGGCCACCTGGGACTCTTCTCGCTGAAAGACCGGGCATACGAGTGCTGGTTGTGGGGCTTTCACTCGCCTACAGTGCCTTTCATTCTGGCTCCCTGAGGTCCCGACTCAGGGAGCCTCCCCGGGGTAGCCACTGCAACGCAAGCTCAGTGCTGTTGGCTAGATCCTTGCAAACCCTTCAAGTTCCCCGTCATCAAATGTTGAACACAGGGCCAGGGAAAGAGTGCAGAGGGACGGCACTTGCCTTCCATGCTACAGCAGGATTCACGGCACTGCATCTGACCCTCCCACCCCGAGCCCCGCCAGGAGTGGTTCCTGAACACAGAGCCAGGAGTAAGCCCCGAGCACAGCATCCCCCCCAAAAAAAGTTGAAAACAGGGCTTCATGCTGAGGGCCTTTGGGTAAGGACGGCCCCTAAATGCTCTGGTTCTTGTTTGTGTCACAGCCACGTGGCGCAGGAGCTGTGTGTCTCCCATGGCCAGGCCCTGTGGAAGGGCAGGGATGTGGCACGTGGGCAGTCACTGCAGTCGAGGGGCGGGGACAGCAGAGCTGGGCAGCAGGAGCCTTCCCCCGGGAGGCAGGATTTGGGCTCCCCCTGACCGAGAAAGGGTCAGTATAGGCAGAAGTCGGTGAGAAGTTCCAGTTGGGATGAAGAGATGATTAGGAGTGAAAAGCTCAAAAGGGGTTCAAGATAGGAGCTCGGGGGCCTGGGGCTGTGGGTCCCATGCCCAGCTGCACAAAATAGACAAAGGAAATTGGGTGTGGGCCAGGCTTGCTCTAGGGAGAGGTGTGGCTGACCGGTTCTCTATCAGGGGCTCTGGAGAGCAGTGTGAGAGATGACTGGGACTAGGCTTCAAGGGGCCTTGACAGCCCTCCCCCCGACGCCCCCCAGGAGTCGTGTTCACCAAATTCCCGCTCCGGCCTTTGCCTCTCATTCTCCACAAACCGCGCACATAGCACTCGGCAGGTTTGGACCATAAAACAGAAGCTTGAACGTGTCAGACCAGAAAAAGCAAAGCAGTCACCAGTTACCAGTTCCCTAATGCATGGGATTCCATAGGGCTGAACAGAGGAACTTGAAAAGTGATGCTGGGGGCTGAAGCAATAGCACAGCGGGTAAGCGTTTGCCTTGCATGTGGCCGACCCAGGTTCGATTCCCAGCATCCCATATGGTCCCCCGAGCCAGGAGTAAATTCCTGAGTGCATGAGCCAGGAGTAACCCCTGTGCATCTCCGGGTGTGACCCGAAAAGCAAAAAAATAAACAAAGATGCTGGATTGAAAGCAGCCATGGGGGCCGGTAGTTCTCTTTCCCCCTCTTTCTGGGAGGCTTTGAGAGCTGTTCCTGGGCCAGGACCCTCTTCTTCTTAGACTCCTTCCTGGGCCTAGGTCACGTGAGGGCTTTGAAAGGGATCTGTGAAGGTGAATTTGGTGACTGATTGCCAGAGAACAGGGGGCCAGGAGAAGCCTCAGAAGTCTGACTGCAGATCACTTCCAGCTCAGGCAAAAATCCATTGTGACCTTGTGGAGTCAGTCGCTCAGAGACCCGCTCCCTGTCTAAGTACTCCATGAGTAGATAGGAGGATGCAGGGTTTTGCCCAGAGATTCAGGGACAAGTCATAGACGATCTGGAGTACTGTTCACCGCTCTGTGTTGGGCGAGATGAATCCAATCCTGTTTCCTGGGAAAGGAAAGGCATGGAGTTGGGGCCGTGTTTCTAAGGAGTTCCGTTTGGGTTTAGTGGAGAGAGATGCCAGCAGATGTATTTTGCCTTTATTTTGATCCAAGAGGCCTAATACGGATAATCCATTACTGTCCATTCCCTGAACACATCCTGAATCCCCCTAGAGGGCAGTCTGGGTTTTCCCCATCTGCCACAGATCACCCACAGATCCGACGGTGCCTTCATATGTTGTCACCACACCAAGTATGATTCCGTCAGGCCTTATAGGCTGAGGAGAGGTCAGTCAGACCCTGATTATCTCAGAACCCCCCGCCACGGGGTGCCTCCCAGCATCACATCATTGTGCCTCCTGAGTACTGTGTATTCTGCTTTTCCAGATCTAAAAAGCGAGGGAGGCATGGGGGTGGACCAGAATCCTTAACTTGTGTAAAACGTGCACTTCTGGAGGAATGAGGTTTCCCCAGAAGCAAAACCGTAGCCCTGCTCAGTGTAAGCTGCTCAGGCCCTTGTCAGTAGGGTCACCACCTCTCCCCCACCCTCCAGCCCTGGTCCCGAGCATCCCTCTTTCCTCTGTGCTACTTCTAAGCACAAGGAGCTGCTTTAGTGAGAACCGTAACCACATCTGCCTTGAGCAGAGCAAGAGTAGAGGATGACGAGATATCTGAGAAGACACTGGGGACCTATGTCCTTAGCCTGGCCTCAGTGGCTCATGGTGACAGGGTCAGCTATTAGAGAACAGCTGTCACAGTCATACCCAGGGGGGCTCATCCCTTTCTCCCGGAGTGAACAGAGTCCAGGTCTGTCACACCTGAGCGTTTGGGTGAGTCTGAAGTATATGGTGGATCCGGGTTCTGACCCATGCATAGCCCATGTTCAGTGGAAAGTAAATCCTGCCAGTCTCCATTGGGAGCCTGACAGCAGAACAAGGGGTCTAATATATAAAGGACACCTTCTCCAGGCAAACACCTGTGGGCCTCCTGAAACAGAAGCAGAAGGCAGGGAAGCCTTGCAGCTCTCTTACTACCTCACCAAAGCCCTCGCTGTGACCTCAGCTCTCGCACTGAGGACCCCTCAATTATGCAGTGACCAGTAAGGCCTGCCTGAAAGGGCACTCTGAATAGCATGCCATGGCCTGCTCATCTTTGCCCCCTTGATTTCTCTCCGCTTAGCAGGGCCTTGCCCTGCCCTCTAGGTGACTGATGATGAGTGTCAAAGAGAAGTTGAACAGTCACTTAGAACGAGCCCAAGCCCAAGATGCAGACAGTCGGCTTGAAACAGACTTTGAGGAAGAGCACGTTAAGGACGTGCTGTATGAGGGCTTCATGCCCAGTGTTGGCCTCACGACAGGACATTGCACTTCAGAGCAGTCCCAGGAAGGCCTCAGGGATGTGGTCTCTACGTCCCCGTAGTCCCTCAGGCAGGGCACTGGCCAGTCAAAATGTCTGATGCATCTTCCAAGTCTCTCAGGCCGGCTTTTGGTTCCTTTTTCTTCAGTCATTCTTAACAGCACACGGTGGGGGCTGAAAACACTCCCTAAAATTGTCCTAATGGTCCCCTACAATAAATATTTAGAAGCATTGGAGGGGGGACGTCTGCAGCCCCTTTGACAGTGTGGGAGTATGAGGAGCTTTCCCTGTCCCTATGTCTGTTCTTCCAACATGCTAAGCTCACATCTGCCCTTGGCATGACCCTTGCTGTCTCCTCTGCCTGGGCCACTTTCTCCAAGAGCCTGGGCACTGACCTTGTTTCTCATACCAGACCAGGCCAGCAACAGCCCTGACCGTGGCCTGCCTTTCTCTGCTGCGTGTCTTAATAGCACATCTCATTGTTTTGAATTTCTCAATCCTCTGCAAAGTTTATTCTTGCCCTTCTCTCTGATTATAACAACAAAAGCAGATGCCTTTCTGACTCTCAGTAAATAGGGTGGATAATCAGAAAATTCTGGCTGGATTAAAAAGAGAAGTCCCCAGATTGTAACTTTGCATCCCTGGAGGACCAAAATTTTGAGTAAATCTTTCACCTAACTTAATTTGACAATAAGTAGGCAATTTCATTCAGCAGTTGTAGAAAAATCTCCCTCAAAGTGGGTGTCTTACACTCTAACCTTGAATATTGAAATCAGAAAGGAACCAGAAGGTTCCAGCCTTTCAGGGAAAGTACACTTAACAGATGTTTTGTTCCCCAGGAAGAGGAAGAGCTAAGAGAAGGGTTTCAGAGATTAGATCATGTGTGGTTTCAGAGATTAGATCATGTGTGTGTGTTAGCTCTCAGGACATCAGGAATTGTTGTGTACGTATGGCCATGGCATGAGCCCCAAGATGCATGATTAAGGGAAGGGCGGGAAAGAGATTTGGAAAACTAAGACTTGTCTGTAAAGGAAGGGAATGGAGAGGGGTATGTCTGGGGTGTGTTCGTGTGTCTCTTTGTTTGCACCCATGTAAGTATATCAAACATACTTGCTTGTTTATGCTCACAATATCTCTGGGAAGATACTTAGGAACCAGGCGGCCGTGCTTGCCTCTGGAAAGAGGGTTGGGATTTAACTTTTCACTGTATACCTTTTGTACCTTTTGAATTTTGTACCATGTACATGTATTATCTGAAAAATAAAGATTTTAAATTTTAAATTAGTTTTCTTTTCTCAAAAAGAATAATACAGAAGATTCTTGGAACTAGGGATATGTTTTCCTTTGAGATTTAAAGCCCTTCCGTCAGATTCAAATTCTGTTAAATTCTCGTTGGGTCTTGGGGGAAATACGGACGTGAGAAGGGGGCTGTTTGGTGTCGGAACAGCTTCGGGGATACAGCGGTGTGGATGAGCTGCTGCAGTTGACTGGGAGAGTAGGGGCATCAGGGAGCTGATGGGATGGAGAATTGGACTTGGTATGGTACACAGGCCCGGGCTGCTGCACGGCTGTCCTATCCTGTGAGGATCCATCCGGGTTCCTCTGACTTTCTAGACACAAAAGATGGGGATCCACCTGAGCCATGGTCCAAGGCGAGCATCCCTATTCTCCAGGAGCTTTGCCTGTTATATGTGCTGTGGGGGGTGGCAGGTGGGGGCCTTTCTGATCAGCAGAACTGACTCTGCAGCTCTAGGGCTTGTGCCCGGACTCCAGAGGAATTGTTGCATATTCGGTGAAGGAATCACAGGAGTCCAGTTCTTGTGTGCCACTGGTTTACAAGCGTG